TGATGGGAACCTTAGTCAGGAGCTTGGTCAGGAGGTGTATCTCGAGTCAAAGTGCAGAGCTTTCTGCTTCCGTAGTTTTGTTTTTAAGGGGGCCTAATTTTCAGCTAAGATTCAATCGAGGCTTATTCTCCTAAATTAACTTCTGATGGTTTTGGAATATCTGCCTATTCCCTTGGAACCTACAGACATCTCTCTATAACATGCTGGCAGCAAATATTACTGTGAAACGTCAACGACCTCTTGATTTTTTTCCCTTGTGGAAGGCTTGCTATTTATGCATGGATGCCTGTACATTCTGTGTTTTTTCGTGGAAGAGGCCTTATAAATATTTTGACATTGTTTGACTTAATCTTAGGGTCACATGTGAGCTTTTTTTTTTTTTTTTAAAAGAAGATGTTGGGGGTAGGAGTTTATTAATTAATTATTTATTTTTGGCTGTGCTGGGTCTTCGTTTCTGTGCGAGGGCTTTCTCTAGTTGCGGCGAGTGGGGGCCTCTCTTCATCGCGGTGCACGGGCCTCTCACTATCGTGGCCTCTCTTGTTGCGGAGCACGGGCTCCAGACGCGCAGGCTCAGTAGTTGTGGCTCACGGGCCTAGCTGCTCTGCGGCATGTGGGATCGTCCCAGACCAGGGCTCGAACCCGTGTCCCCTGCATTAGCAGGCAGATTCTGAACCACTGCGCCACAGGGAAGCCCATACATGTGAGCTTCTTGAGGGCAGGGACCATGTTCTTGTTCTCACTGTATCCCCAGGGTCTGGCACATATTAGTTACCCAATAAATATTAATTGAATCAACTCTTGAATTTTTGCCTGAATAAATTTTAGTCATGATTTAGTCCCTTGTATTTTCACATTCTCATTTACTAGCTCACATTCAAAATGTTTATAAATTACCAGAGTAGTCTTTTTGTTTGTCTTAAAGGATGCTCCAGGATGATGTCATAATCTACTTTCTCTCTTTTTATAGGTGTTCTTCTTTTGGGAGATGCTTATAACATGAGGCATCCTCTTACTGGAGGAGGAATGACTGTTGTTTTTAATGATATAAAACTATGGAGAAAATTGCTAAAGGGTATCCCTGACCTTTATGATGATGCAGCTGTTTTCCAGGTAAGATATTATTCTTTGACAAAAAAGTCACAAAACAGACTTTTTTGGGGGGCCTAAGAGGAATGGGGCTTTGAAGGGGAGGTCTGTACCTAGGAGCCTGGTCCTTAGTAGTGATTCTTAAGCAGTCTTGTTCAGGATTAAGAACTTGACTTGTAACCTGTGAATCTTTTAGAATCTCTGTATTTGGATATTATATAACATTGGATTACATGGGCCACTTAGCTTCAGAGATGTAACTCATTGCTCTGGAGATTTTTTTTTTGGTGGGTGTGTAAATGTTGAACAAGGCATAATTACTGTACAACAGTCCTCAGGATAACTATCAGTTTAGGGGATTATAAACATCAGTTTGTGCTCTTTCTCTCTCTCTCTCCCTCTCCCCCCTTCCCCTTCCTTCCTTCTTCCCTCCCTCCCTCCCTCTCTCTTCCTTCCCTTTACCATATAATAAGTGATCTTTTTCCTTTTTAGGCCAAAAAATCATTCTATTGGACAAGAAAAACGTCTCATTCCTTTGTTGTGAATATCCTTGCTCAGGCTCTTTATGAATTATTTTCTGCCACAGATGGTAAGTGCAGATATTTTTAAAAGAATATTGCTGAAGTGCAGGGTTTTAGCACAGGAAGGGAACTTAATTACAAAAAAGTTAGTGATTAGGCCAGAACTAGAAATGTTTCCTGAGTCTGCTAACTTCCAAGTTGGTAGTCCTTTTTGACTCAGCCCTTGAGCAAGATTTTTTCTAATCATCATGTATCCACCACTTTGTGTGGAAGGCTGTTGCTTCCGGAGACAGCCTTAATAGCAATACCTCACTAATGTGTCATTATTCACCCCTCTGGTCCAAATCAGATGCATAAAATTGCGATGCAAATCTTATGCAAATGCATGGGACTGTGATGGAAGATCTTTCTGGCCATGAATTAAAAGGCAATATAGTTGTTAATCTTTTTCTTCCTGAACACTAGTTTTAATTTCTTTTCAAAGTTGTATTTTGTAAAATGAATATGAGCTTCATATCAAGCCTAGATTTTGTTAAAGTGCACAAGCAGAAATATTCCCACGCTTTTGTTTTTGTTTCCATATGAGGTGATGGTCAATCTATACGTTAAGGAAAACATGACTAAGCAGAAACAGTGGTAGAAATGGAGGAAAAGGCATCTGTGCCACCTCCCAACCATGGCCGTATACAAATTAGTGAGTGGTAGGTTAGTAAAACTAGACCTTTAGGTTTTCAAGAATAAATATAACTTGAATCTCATTACCTCAGGTGTTTACAACAAAGCTATTTCTATGACCTGGCTGAGGCCCTAGTGATCTGTGCTTTGGTGATCTGATTACAAAGGATGATACAGTACAAATACTTCCTGCAGAGTCTCTAGCCATCGTTCTTGCTAAAAGAAAAGACAACTTACTGTGATATGCCAAGCAAATCTCTCTTGCTAGTTGAGCATGGAAGTTACAGTGGCTGGTTGGGCAAGAAAAGAACTAAATTTGGAGTGTTTCTAAGCTCTTCTTTCTAAGCTTTTCTAAGCTCTTGAGTTTCGTACATGATGAGTTTGAATCTGCCGACAAAACAACATTAAAAAAGTTACGAAATAGTGGAGGAGGAATGAGCTTTATTGGAGTAAAACGTTACCAGTTGTACCCTTTTTCATCTTGTGAAGAACAATCTAGACATACTTGAGAAGAACATTGATTCTGTACTATTAAAAAGGTTATTGATTATATTATGTTGTGAGGGCTTAATGAATTATTTTGAAAAGTATAAAAAATGTACACGTATAAGGCATTATTACTCTTCACAGCTGTTCTTTTTACTTGATAATTTACTGCTCAGAGATATGGATCAGGCATCTTAGAGACTGGGAATCTGGTTTCTAGAACTGTGTTTTTATAAGAAAAGTGTTTACAACAAAGTAGTTTGCATCATTTAATGAATTTACAACACAGTCAAGGAAATAGCTTTTAAATAACTAACTTCTAAGACCTGCATGTTTAGTAATTATTTACTAGCAGAAAACGTTTATTCACACTTAAATTACTATGTGTAATGTGACTTATGAAATTTAAAGGAAATCTTGGGTTGCTGAAATGCCAGCACTAGATTTTTTAGAAATTATCTGTAAGGTGTAATAAATGTTACACATTCATTTTTTTTCTGACATTTCATTAATACCCAGCATAAATGTGTGGATAATTTGATCGGGAGTAATTTTTAACTTTTATTTTAGATTCCCTACATCAACTAAGAAAAGCGTGTTTTCTTTACTTCAAACTTGGTGGAGAATGTGTTGCTGGTCCAGTTGGGCTGCTTTCTGTGTAAGTTGTTTCGATGACACAGAGGAAACGGGTGTTCCAGGTTTTCTTAGGACAGTTGGGTTTATGAGTGACTGCAAGCACCATTTTATCATCCAGTAGCATCCCAAACAAAACGTAGCCCAGAGAAATGAAAACAGGCAATAGTTAGTGCTGCATTTTTGTTCTAAGAAACAGGGTTGATTCTATGGGAACCGTGATTAACAGAAGTTTATACTTAGAATTTAATTCTGTTGGGACTCATGAAACTCAGTAACAGTTCTGATGGTGCAGACATACGTAGAATTATTCTTGGGAAGTCTGCAAAATGAAATTCTTTAAGACGTTTCCCCTTCGTCTGCTATCTGAATGTCAACACTGTTATCTTTTGAAACATCTAGACTCAACAAGCCAGGCAATCCAGCTATTTCAGACCGAGATCTCAAGACTAGTGAGAGAAACAGCTCAAAACAGACAATTTAATAAACGAAGAGGAGGTACTGGCTTCTCTGACAGGGGTGAAGTCTAAGTAGTTTCTTGTAAGAAAAAAAATTTTTTAATTTGTCCCTTAGTTGGCAGATACAAGCTTATAAAGTCCCCTAAAATGTGGAGTGTGTGTTTACCTTTACAGATGATACATAATTGGAACCTCTTTATGAGTCAACTTTCATTTCCAGGTCTTACTTATATATATACTTTTTATCTTTCCTATTTATTACAGATTGACTCCTAATCCTCTGGTTTTAATCGGACACTTCTTTGCCGTTGCAGCCTATGCCACATATTTTTGCTTTAAATCAGAACCTTGGATTACAAAACCCCGAGCCATTTTCAGTAGTGGTGCTGTATTGTACAGAGCGTGTTCTGTAATATTTCCTCTAATTTACTCAGAAATGAAGTACTTGGTTCATTAAGCTTAAAGGGGAACCATCTGTGAATGAATACTGGGAACTTGCCAAGTCTGAAGAGACTTGGAAGAGATGTACATAGCACAGTACTATACCTCTTCTAAAGTGGGAACTCTTGGACCAAGATTGGGATTAATTTGTTTTTGAAGTTATTTGTATATAAACATGTAAATATATACTTTAGTTTGCAATTTCAAATGAAGGGTACAATAAGATAGATATGTAAAAGAAATGATTGTTACCGTAAATTAGTGCTAACACTGAGGAACTGCAGTTTGTCTTTTGAATTCAGTATTTGGGATGAGTTACTGTGGGGCATGCAAATAAAATGAAGAACGAACTCTCATGTCTTTTTGCCTCGTGCTGTGGACTTCTTTACGTAACTTCATGAAAAAGAAACCAAAGTGGGGTGGAAAATGCGGAGGGAAACCTATTCTGTTAAATAACTCCTGACGCTGGGGAAGTTGCCTTAATATCTCTGGACCTTATTTTCCTCATCTATCCACCTGTCTTTCCTCACTTATGCAATTGGATAAGGTTCTTTTCTGAGTTCTTGGAAAATATCGCATTTATATGGAAAGGCAATCGAGGGCTTTATATAAATTCCACTGTGTGACATTAATAAGCCAGGCTAGGCTTATTTCAAGAAACAGTGAATGAACAAATAAGCACTTGCAATATCTGGCATAATGCCTTAAAATCAGTCAGACTTTACTGAGTTTACAGTACATTTGAAGAGATTATGGACATTCAGAAGGGTATCATGAGACTTAAGTAAATCCCCAAATATCACTAAAGTAAATTGCTTCCATTAAAAGAGCAGTAAAATACAACCAGGAATTTTAAGTAACTACTTCAGATTGTAACGATTAGGGCTAAAATTTTATTTATAAAATAAAGCTTTTATAATTAACATTTCTCTTGTTCAACTTTTAAGTTGAAATTTTTTCAGTTGAGGAAATTTTTCACTAGCCAGATCACTTCACCTTGTTTTAGGACAGTGTATGTGGACTCATTTGCTTGGTTTTGTGAAATTCCCCTCTGATGATAAATCATACACTTCAATTGTCTGGTTAAAAATACACTTTCTTAGATCTCACCTTTTTATTAGCTGGCTTTCTATGCGGGGAACATTTTCACAGAGAACTAAAGCTCTCATTTCATGCAGTTACTGCAGTACATCTGATTACAAATGAGAAACAGCAAGATAGTTTTGAGAAGTGGACGTACGATGGCCACAGACTTACCGGCTGAGTTCACGTGTCAGCTTCTGTGGGTGAGACTCCCAAACTCCTTACATGCCAGGCAACTTTCAGTTCACTTTTAAAATTCCTCCCTGGGTTTCCACCAAGCTGGGCTGATAAGCCTTCTGCTTCCCTCTGCTGACTAGATGCTTTTTAAAATCCTTTCTACAATGATGGTGAAATGAAGCATATAAAGTCATTTTTTTTCTCTTCCAGTATCTTAGGATTTGAGACCTTCTGACAAAAGAAATAACTTATCATAAAATCAGAAAACTGAAGGGAACCAGAGAAATCATTAGCCCTGATTTTATAGATGATGCCAGTAGGCTACCTTGGGACAAAGTTTAACTAGTGGCAGAATCAGGACTCAAGCTTTGCCTCCTGACTACAAATTAATGCTGCTTTTCTTACTATTTGCTAACTGACTGTCAAGCACATTTCAGATACTGGGTGTTTTTTGTTTGTTTCTTTGCTTGTACCTCTCCTCTCCAGAGGACATAGCTATACAGTCAGAGTTAAAACACCTTTCTTACTCCTATCTAAATCGCCACAAGAGGATGGCAGCTCCTCTTTCAGGGTAATTTTCATTCAGAAGTGATTTAGGATTTTGGAGGAGTTAAAAGCTAATGGCTAAGCTGTTATTAAAAAAAAAAAAAAGGGAGTGGGGACTTGGGGTGGGGCTCAGGGCTTGCTGAGGAAGGAGCAGCTGAAGTTGGGGAGTCCTACAGAAGGGCTGCAGGGAACCCCCAAGGTATCTGGATTGGAAGAGGACATTGAGCCTCAGACATGAACAAACTTCCATGGTACGTGGTCCACGGATTGCATGGTCTCTGCATCTGCTACTAGTCTCTCTGGTCACCATGTGCCTGCCAGCCTGTCGTGGATGTGACCATGGACACAACACTGGACCTACCAGGCTCCTCTCTGACCTTCCAGACGAGGTTTTTTGCAGGGTGAATATGTGGTTTTTGAATCATAGGCAGAAGGATGACTTTGGGTACTGGCAGTACTATTTTACTGAAAATCTGGAGTTGCACAAATAGTTCTCTAGAACATAAAACTAAATGGATTTATACACAACAATTACACTCAGCATTTATAAGAGGCAGTACAAAATGTGTTCTGCTTCTACATGATATAAATTGTATATAATACCATGATTTAAACAATATTAATTAATTAGTTCCGTGAAATACATCTTACTCAGAACGTCTGACGTTTCCCACAATAAAGGGAAAAAATGCAGTTCTTTGAGCAGTTGAGTTTCTTTTCATTTCCAAGTTCATTTTAGTGACGGTGGGAAGATTTAAGGATAATCCTTCCATTGAAGACGCAGAAGTCAAAAAACGTCACAGGACTGTTCTGAACTCATCAAAAATGAAATTAGGCACGTGTGCTTCAGCAACCTAAAAAAAATAAGAGTTAACTTTCATAGTGTTATAAGAAGCAATTCAAATTTTTCCATATGAAAATTAAAGACACGAAGACATCCTTTGGAGCAAGGTGAATCACAGGGAAATACTGGGCCACTAATTGAAACCACCACCTTCTGCTTCTGGTGTCCTACTGCTGGTGTCTAATTTCTTGGCACTGCTGACATCTGAAGGGATGCTATACAGCTCCCTGTCCCCCCACCCCCGCCCCAGACGTGAGCTCCTTGGCTCTTAAAGGCACTTGGATCTGCAAGGATGCGCATGCCTCTGGGAAGTACTAAGAAGTAGTCTCAGGTCACCTCATAATTAACTGATGGCCAACCTCAGTCACTTGCCAGAACGGGACATCTGGCAAGTGACTGAGGCCAGAGGAGGAAGACCCTCAAAGGCAGGCATTCCTTAACTGTGCTGGGGAAGCCCTCAGAGGGGTGGGACTGGGTAAATGGGGTGGAATGTAGAACTAGGTGATCTCCAAGCACTAGAAATTGGTAGTCTTTAAGAGCAGTATTTAATTTTTTTCTGACTATAAAGTTATCACCTGCTAATTAGAGAAAATTTAGCAAATGTAGATAAGTATAAAAAAGGAATAATCTCTAATCTCAATTCCTTATGAGAAAACTAAAACTGCTAATTATTTTGTATCAAATTCTTCCAGTTTACACACACACACACACACACACTCAAAACTAGAATCACATAATTTTCTGTCCTTCTGCTAAATTTTATGTTCTGAATATCCTTACATGTACATCTTGGTGAACTTTTGCATATATACCCAGCAGGTAAATTTCTAGCAGTGGAATTGCTGGGATCAGTAAGATATTACAAAAGTTTTTTAAATAGATAAAGTCAAATTGCCCTCTCCAGAGATAAGCAAATTTACATTCCCATTGATAGTACTGAGAATTCCCATTTCTTTGAAACTTTCCCAAGCACTGGGCGCCCAACATTTTACTTTTTACCCATTTTACTGTTACTTTGATTCATGTCCCTTTAATGTAAGGTTGAACATCTTCACAAACGTTTACTGGCCACTTGTATTTCTTTTCCTGAAAACTGCCTGTTTCCTGAAAGCTCCCATTTTTTTTTTTTTTTCGGTTGGTTATCTTTTTCTTATTGATCTAGAAGAGCACACTATAAGTTAGAAAAAAAAAGTTTTGTTAATAGTTTTCCCAATTTTTTAAAAAAAATTTTGAGACATCTGACAGAGAATTGTTTCATTACATTCAGCACTTATAAGAGATGAAATCTCTAAATCCTTTGTGGCTTCCTCCTTTGGTGTTATATATAGGATGTTCCGCTTTAGCCTAAGTTCTATGAATTTTTTTTTTTTTTCGGTACACGGGCCTCTCACTGTTGTGGCCACTCCCGTTGTGGAGCACAGGCTCCAGACGCGCAGGCTCAGCGGCCATGGCTCACGGGCCCAGCCGCTCCGCGGCATGTGGGATCTTCCTGGACCGGGGCACGAACCCGTGTCCCCTGCATCGGCAGGCGGACTCTCAACCACTGCGCCACCAGGGAAGCCCAGTTCTATGAAATTTTAAAAAATTCTAACCCCCCTCCAACTTATAAACATTATCTGGGATTTTGATTATAACTGCAATACGATTATAAACTAGAAAGAACTAATACTTGAGTTTCCTCATTCAGAAATGTGGACTTCAAAATTTTATAGTTTTTTCCTAAATATTCTTTCATATCTCTTACAGAGTTTATTATTCTTGGCTATGTTATTTCCTTGCTAATTCTGTCAATAGGATCTTTTTCACATTATAGTTTTGAATTGGTTATTAGTGTATTCACTTTTTATATTATGTAATCAGCTTACTTTCTGAATTCTTATTGTTTTAATAGTTTTCCACAAGTTTCTATTGGGTATTCAAGGAAGACAAATTCATTCTCAAAACAAATTTGTCTTCTTTTCATTATGCATTTTAAATCTTTCATTTCCTATTCTATTGTCTGGAACCTGTACAACAAAAGCAGCAGTGAGCATCAGCACCACCATGTAACTCTTATCGTCCTGACCTTGATGAGAATGCCAGTAGCACTTAGAATTAAGTCTGACCTTGCTAGTTAATTTTAAAAGCATCATCTTTGGTTTTTGTTATAAAAAAAGTAACTTTGATTCCTAACCTACTAATTTTTCAAAATCAGAATGGCTTTTCAGCATCTATTGAAGGTTTTTTTATATTTCAGGGTCAAGCTCTCCACTCTCAACTAAAACTTACCAAAGTGGAATTACTACTGAGAAAAGAAAAGAGTATCTTAGGAGGTGGAAAGTAATCTGTCATTTTTGGAAACGGTGGTTGTATAGCACTTCAACCGTGGTGTGAACTTAGCCAAACTTGCTGTGGGAAGCAGGTTACTGTAGAGATGAAAAATGAAGCACACAATCATTCTCTACCCCGACCCCTTAAGGAATTCTCCCCTGGAGCTCATCTTAGCTCCTCAACAGGCTGAGCTGCAGACCGGAGGAGGGTGTGGTAGAGGGCAAGAAGAGGGAGGAAGCTGTGTTCAACCCTGTCTTCTCGCAAAGCACTGAACACGTGGAGGAGGGGGAACATCTTAGAGCCGAGCCGGGGATAGAGCAGGGCGAGGGGCTCAGAGGTGTCCACTGGGAATGAGCCTCTGGACTTCATTCCTCATGGGTCCAAGGCTATGCTTCATACCATCTTTCTACAAAAAGGGCATTAATATTGTTCTTTATCTACTGCTTACCCTCCTGGGTAGCTTTGTGTACCGAACATAATCCTCCAGAAACAGAAGGGCACCCACAACATCTGCAGGCATTTCTGGTATCTTCTGGCTGCAACAGAGAACAGTCTGGATCGGTTAACTGCTTTGTACACAGTGGACCCTCAGTCAAAATACTGAAAGACTAAAAAAACGACAGATGACTAAATGAAGCCAAAGTAGAGGCACATCTACAGCACCTCCTCCTGAGTCACAGCAAGCCACATCTTGCTGGCCTGTCTTCAGAACACAGCCCGGAGGATGGAATCAAACTTCTCTGAACGGCCTACACGGGGCTTCACCACATGGTGCCTGCTGACCCTTTAGGGTAGCAGAGGAGACTCAGGACCCAGCATCTCATGCAAATAACTTGTTTCTATCCCAGAAAAGCCACATTTGGGGTGGGGGAGGGGAGAACTAAAGGTTTACAAGCTTTATATCATGTAGGAACTTCCGTGCAATTTGTTCCATTACACACCAGGAACTCGGGCTATGCTGCCCACGAGGTGCTCCCTGACACTCCACTGGAGGGTGGAGCCATCCCTGGGCAGTGGCCCAGTGGGAGGACACGGGCTCACTGAGGTCTGAGCACAGTGTCCAGGATGCAGAGGGGCAGGCCTGTACTTTCTCCCCACGGAGCTTGCTGATGGTGGTTATGACGCATTCACAGTGTGTGCTCCCAGGGCTCCTCGGCAGAGTGACTAAGGATGGGCACACCTTTAATTGCCCCAAACAAGGAGATGTGCCCCGACCTGCTTTACAGAGCCAGGTGAGCAGTCAGTTCCTGTCTCTACTAGGGGGATGATAAGAGGAATTTGCCATGCGAGGCTCCCAGCCCATTCTGTAACATCAATTCCATTTTTTCCTGGTTGGCCTTCTGTACCTTGTACACTGCTCCACTGTGGAGCGGATAAACTGGCCGATCAATGCCAGGAACTGTTCTGTGTACCGGGAATGAAACTGCTTCAGCAGGGTGAGCAGTCCCAGCACGAGTGGCGGCCAATCCACAGGGTCGGCAGGTTTTCGGCAGACCATGCCTGCAAGGACCGACAAATTACAAATTACCACCAAGCGAACTGCTTGCCTTAGGCAACATTCATTTAGTATGAATGTTCGTGAATGTCAAAACGTCTGGGGCCCACATCATCACTGGCAGGTGATTACGTGAGGGAATGATAATCCAGGACTACATTTTGAATTAGGCCCAGGATTTGGTGGAGGCTTCTAGTGGTCTGAAGGATTCAACATCCTAAAATGGGTACTAATTTTTATAATTACCATCACTGTTTCTTTTGGATTATATAATTAATGGATGCAACTGTAGAAAAATTTAAAGATATAGATAAACGTAAATGAGGAAATAAAAATTGCCTAGAATCGGCTTCTGTTAATGGCAGCATGGCATACTAAATACCTTGAAGTACTCTCTTAAATGAAAACATTCAAAATGCTGGATAAGATTTTAAAAGTATCTTTAAACACAAGGTTAAATGTTACACAAGAAAAGAACGTGCAGAAATCAGGACAGTCGAAGAAGGAAATATGTCAAGTGAGTGAGTGAGTGCCAAAGCTGGGCTTTTCACTAAGGATTTCTGCCCAAATCTGGAGACCTTGACCTTCTGCCTGAATGGCTGTATGGGGAACAGGAGACAGACCACAATGTTGAAAACAAAACAAAACAAAAGGACGTGGGTTTGAGCCCTGGTCCAGGAAGATCCCACATGCTGTGGAGCAGCTAAGCCCGTGCGCCACAACTACCAAGCCTGTGCTCTAGCGCCCGTGAGCCACAACTAGTGAGCCCGCATGCCACAACTACTGAAGTCCGCACACCTAGAGCCCATGCTCTGCAACAAGAGAAGCCACTGCAATGAGAAGCCCGTGCACCGCAACCAAGAGTAGCTCCTTCTCGCCACAACTAGAGAAAGCCCGTGCGCAGCAACAAAGACCCAACACAGCCAAAAATAAAAATAAATTAATTAATTAAAAAAAAAGGCAATCAACCCAATTTAAAAATAGGCAAAAGACTTGAACAGACACTTAACAAAGAAAAATATAAAGAAACAAACAAAAAAGATATAAAGAACAGCCAAAAAGCACTTGAAAAAGCGCTCAACATCATTAATCATCAGGGAAAGGCAAGTTAAAACTATAATGAGATACCATACACACTCATTAGAATGGTTCAAATTAAAAAGACTGAGATGGCCAAATGCTGATGGGTTGTAAAATGGTACAACCACTTTGCGAAAAGGATTGGCAGTTGATTAGAAAGTTAAACTGGTCAGACAGACCCGCAGATCCCATATTTGGGTTTTTGTGAAGACTGGAAAAACTAACTTAAGATGCCAAAACAAGTTACCTAACCCAGGCCTTGGCAATTCCAAATTACTCAATGCCCAATGCAAAAGACTCTAGCCATACTCAGAACATGGAGAAGTAATCCTTTCCAGGTGGAGAACAAAAGTGATGTTTACAACAAAAACTTCCTCTGAATGAGCACCACAGAGATTCTTCCTTAAAAGACCAAGGCAGGCATGCGTTTCTCAGATCAGTCTTGAGAACAATGCTTACAAGGTTAAATAAATGTTTTTAGGGTCCACAAACATGCTGATGTTCCTTCCTCAGTCCTGCTTTTCTTTAATTTGATCCCCGACTTAACACATCAGCCTAATTCATGAAAAGTACTGTAGCCAGGGGACTTCTCTGGTGGCAGAGTGGGCACAATGCAGGGGGCACAGGTTTGATCCCTGGTCAGGGAACTAGATCCGCAACTAAGAAGTCAGCATGCCACAACTAAGAAGTCAGCATGCCACAACTGAAGAGTCTGCATGCCGCAACTAAAAAGTTCCCACATGCCGCAATGAAGATCCCACGTGCTGCAACTAAGACCCAGACGGCCAAAATAAATAAGTAAATATTAAAAAAAAAAAAGAACTGTAGTCAGGTATACATACATTTCTAAGACACTTAACAGTTCTGTTCTGTTTTGTTTAAAGATCTGGGAATTCTGATCTTCCACTATCACTATTCCACTGGAATAGTGACATATTTCCCATAAGGAGTCGTATAATCAAGGAGCCTGACCTTAACCATACATGCAATGAAAGAAATATTACCTAAGAACGAGACCACTGAACAAACCGTCTTAATGAAAACAAGGTATCTTCATGCACTGACAACTCACCATTATAAAGAAGCATATATTCTTATTTTGTAATAACACAGGGACAAGACAGGGAGGTCATGAATCTCTGAATCTTGAGATGAACTTTTAAGTCCATCTTGGGATGGTTCTTTACATTGATTTTGACCAACATACAGAAAAGGATCCAGCATCAGATAAGCATTTGCTCTGTGAGAGGTACTGTCATAGGTATTTTTGAAATCTGCTTGGCCTGAGAGGTTAAGTAACTTGGCCAAAGTCACACAGGTGATAAGTCATGAAGCCAGAATCCAAACACACACGTGTTCCCTCCCTCTTATGGCAAGGACTTACTGGGCGCCACCATGGCCTGCGTTCTGTGGCTGTAACAGGTATTGTTACTGGGGCTGTGTCTGGAATCAAGGAATCTTTTTGAATGAGGGAATAAAAACCTTACAGAGAATCCACATCTTTATCCTAAAAAAAAACCTTTTGGAATAGGAAGGGAAATACTTGAAGGAAGAAATATATTTTGGAATTGCTGGTTAAAAAAAGTATATGGTTACATTCATGGAAAAGCTCTTACAATACTTTCAGAGTAAATTAAACTCTACAGCAGACTCTAAAAATCTCTACTTAGATATAAAGTTTGGAGACAGAGGAAATACCCAGGAATCTTATAAAAATGTTCAAGATAAAGTCAATGACAAAAAAACATTGGGTTATATCCTTGGACAGGACAAATATACTGATAGCCTTTGGTATCTATTGTTTGTATCAAGTATTTTCAAAAATAAAGTACTGGATTATCCCTGGATTAGTCTCCTGTACGTAACTATATTTTTACTCTTCATACCAAAGTTCCAGATACACAGTAGGCACATGACACTTGTTGAAAGAACATTAACCAAAAAGAAGTTTCTTTCCCACCATAATCAGCTCCTTAAAGAAGAGAGAGAAGCAAAGGTCCCACACATTTTACAAGTTGGATAATCAGCCACTGTAAATTAAAGGTGGATTATACTTCGTTGATATTAAATCCACCGTCTGCATCATATTTCAGAGGCCCAAAGACATGGATTTTATAAACACGCAATTAACTATGAAAGACCTCATGTGTGACATAGCATTCTATACCAAGAGCTGTTTGGTTAGATGTTAATCTACCGTTATTGTTCCTTACTGCAAAGAATAAATGTCATACAGTACCTAGGTTTTTGCTGTACTGAAGTTTTGGCAACTGGGCGATCAAAAATAGAAAGTTGACAACCGGGAAGTAGGGTAAGCGCTTTGTTGTTATGTATATCTGGAAAGAGAAGGGAAGAGATGGGCTCTTCACATCACACAATACCACAGAACACATTTTCAAAGGGAAGCTGCCATTTATTTGTTTGCTCTTCTGACTGCTGAAAACTAGGATGGTTCCATTAACTTGCTGCCTTCAGAGTTTTATTTAACACCACTGACCATTCCCCCACCAAACAGATACCCACTTGACAATTAGCCCTGTTGGGATGGGAACAATTTTGCTTAGATTAGCAGTTACCTCCCCCCTGAATCCTGTTAATGTCAGCAACAAAAGGAGGGGAGAAAAAGGCGATGAGCAAGAAAGTCAAGGCAAAGCTGGAAGGAGGGCAGAGGGAGGGAAAGAGAAAAGAGGGAGAAAGAAAGAAGGAAAGATCCGTAGAGCCGTGCGTGGCGGCGAGTAAGCAGGAAGCAAGCAGACGTCTCTTTGTCCAGTGGCTTTCCCGCAGGCAATGCCACAGAGCAGTCTCTGGATGTAGCATCACCCCAGTTCACGGGGCAGAGAAGTACAGTCAGAACACACCCAGCCATCTCCCTCCTCCCTGTTGGACCGGTTCCCTGGGAGGTGGGGTGGCATCCTGGCCAGGAGCGCCCGCTCTGGTCAGACTGCCAGGCTCCATCGCTGGCTAGTGTGGAGCCCTGGGAAGTTATCAACCCCTGAGCCTCAGGATCCTCCCCCAACAAGGGCACATTTAAGGGACTGCTTTGAGATCAAGTGACAGCACCCATCATGGGGTTAACACAGTGCTTGGCACATAATTACAAAATGTTAGGTGCTATTTAGGTTCATAATTTTTTACCCCAAACCCAGGGGATTGTATAGATTTCAGAATTTCATATTACAATAAAGATTTTAGAAAGGTAATATAGAGTCTAGGGTAACAACCTGTAATGAAAGTTATCAGTATTTCGGCATCAAAACATGAAAATTCACAGGAGTATAAACAGCCGCAAGTCAGTTTGGGACGGGTTTTGGCACCAAGTGAGATCTGGCACCAACTTGTGGAAAAAACTTTCAGTTCCCAGAGGTTTATGGAGATCAGAATTGCAGAAAAGGACTTGTGGCCCCAGACTATGATCGTGATTACTGTCAGCCACAGAGGGAAGTATCTTTGGGCAAGAAGGATCAATGCCACCATTTAGCTGCAGTTCAAATACCAACCCGCAGAGAAACCTAAAACGCATCTCCTATAGATATAGCGCTTTTCACTTTTCAACGAGTTCTGACAAACACTGTATCACTTGATTCCCACAGCCCCGAGTGAGGCAGGGATGGTGTGATCATCCTCATATTACACGTGGGAAACGGGAGCCCAGAAAGGGCGGGAACTCAAGAGAAGGGAGGCTCCAGGATGGGAACCAGGTCCTCCCAGTACCTGAGCACAGCGATCTGGGCCAGATGGCCTTAGGTACCACACTATCCCCCACCACACCATCATATATTTTAATCGTTAACCTTGTTCAGTGGGTTGTGGATGCCAGCTGCCTCCAGGTAGGCTGTGATTTCATATAAGAGTGTGTTATCTTCTTTGGGGTAAGGAAGTGAAGGGTCCTGGTAGTGGGCTTCAATATCTGCTAGGAGAGCCCTAGATGAAGGAAAAACAAAAACAAAAACAAAAACAACAGTGATAAATATTAGAGATAAAATCAATCTAGACAACAGTTAATACAAGCTATGATCTTCCAGGGATCCAGTGTCCTCACCTGTAAAACAAGGGCTTGATCCTTCTAATTCTCAATTTCCATACCTGTGATTGGTTACAAATGGAAAATTTGACCTAGAATTACATTATCTTTTGGAGTTCACCCAAATCAAATGCTTTCACCATTCAAAGTTTTATGAATTGACTGAACTGTTTTCACTACCTACTTTGTCAAAAGCACTGACTTTGTGACCAAGAATCACAGATTATTTATCTTGAGGCAGGAGGCTCGAAAAGAGAGCAAGCTGAAGGAGAGGTAAAGGGTGTGGCTGTGCACCGGGATGCGTTCTCACAGCCACACCCGGGCAGCAGTGCGCTTCCACCCGCCCTCAGAAGAAATAGTGACTCAGTCCTGTGGAAAGCCAGGTGTGGATTTTGGTAATAATTGCCTTCTCAGTCTGTGCAAGTACCTAGCATGGTGTCTGGTGTGTATTAAGTGATCAATATATGTTGGCTGAATAAATGAATCTATCAAAAAAAAGAAAAAAAAAGAGAGACAGACCAAGACAGATTTGATTACCTATGGGAAGAAAGCCTGTAAATTCAGAGAGCCTTCTCACTCAAGAAGAACTTAAAAGAGCAGGTATTGAACAAGAAACTGGAATGCTAATCGATGATGAACAATCCAGGCCCACAGCTGGCTGTTTCAAATGCCGGCACTTACTTATTGAGATTCTCCAAAGCAGCGGCCAGATGTTTGGAGTCAAACCGACAAGAATAATTTAATTCATTGGCAATCTGTTGTCTCAGAATCTGCATCTGCCCAACCTGTGAACAAGCAAGAGAGAGAACAGGTAAACTACACAAGGATTTCAAACAGATAGCGAGGAGACAGACAAAAAGATGACGAGCTTTTATTGGAAGGATCACAACATTCTAAAGAAAAATTCAAGGATTTCCTGGACTGCCTTTATGGCTAAGGCCAGCATCATCCCTAACGGAGCAGAGGACCCTTCAAGAAATGTCTGGAGAGATTCCTGTACACCAACTTCAAAATAGCCCTGATGTCTAACAGTTTACAAAGTGATCCATTAATGCTCAATTGTCCATGGATTAAAGGTGTGTGTTTTGAAGCTCTATTTTTGATCTTTTGGAATAAATTCTCCATGTTCAGTACCCACTAATGAGAAGCCCTACTTCCTTTATTTGTCCTAAACTGAAATTTCTCAAGTCCTAAGGATGTCATTTCACTCTAATATTCGGTCAATATAAGCCTGTCTACATCACTCAGGATTACAGATCAAGAAATAATCTAGGTAATAAAATAATCTACATACAATCTTCCAAGAAGGCCCTTCTAACAATGATAACCCCGAATCCGGAGGTTCTTAACCTTTTGTCGGCACCTTGGACCTCTTAAGGAATCTAGCGAAGACTATGGACATTGTCTCAGAATAATTCTTTTGAATGTACGAAATAAAACATACAGGATAACAATGGAAGCCAATTGTAACAAAATGTAATTCGCAAGCTATTAAAAGAATGGATTTGTGACCTGGAGTTATGCTAACACGGTGGATCAACCATTGTAATTTCCAAGTAATGATGAGCATAAAGGATATTTGGAGGTATCCACGGCGACTGTCAGGTGTTAGGGAACTATCTTTGGGTCAGTTTGAGGTAAGAGTTCAGCTGGCTCTGACAAGTTCAATTTGTTGGTATCATAAAGTCAACAGTATACCCTAACTTTTTATGCAGTAAATTCCTTCTCTTTTCTAGAAAAGCTATCCCTAAAAGATTAGCAAAGGGGAGAGGAGGAATACGAAGGGAGGTTGTTTAGTAATGATGGCAACAATAAAGAAGAAATGAACACATTTCCTCTGAGTTGTTGGGAGCAGAGAAAGGAAAAAAAAGAGTGGTCTTCTCTAAGAGTGAAGAAAAGGTATCACTTAGATCAATGGACTTTATAACAGTTAAAAGTGTCAAACGACCTCAAATGTACTACCTTCGACCACTATTCTTATGAGGCTACTCTACTTATGTCAAGAAAATAAAAGTGAATCCAAAAAAATGCTATTTGTAAGTAAGAAACCTTTTATTAACAGAAAACTATTATTATTTAAAAATTAGAATAGGGCAAGGCCAAGAAAACAGTGGGTTCTTCCAGGCCACTCAAAAATGTCCCTCCAACCTTGTCTCTGCCCATATAATTCCTTGCTTAATTCTAGATACTCTATGTCAAGGATTCCCTAGAAAATACCAATCTGGAAATGGAAACAGAAATAAATGCAGTTTTATGTAACTTGTTCTTATTTAAATAAGATACTGGAGAGGTTAAGGAGCCTGGGAGGTGATAAGCTCATTCTACCTATTTGTTCGCCTATTAGAGAGCTCTGGACTGTCACTCTTTCTCTCTGTGATTTCTCTAGAGCTGCAATGACCAAGAGAGCAGCCACTGGCTGCCTGTGGTTGTTTAAATTTAAACAATTAAAATGAAATAAAATTTGAAATTCAGGTCCTCACTCCCCACAAGCCACGTTCTAAGCGCCCAACAGCTCCATGTGGATAGTGGCTGCTGTCACTGTTGAAAAGCACAAGTATTTCCATGCTGTTCCAGATTATTATGCCCATTTAGTGACTGCAGGTTCCCTAATTCAAGACAAAAAGACAAATTGGTCCTTGGGGGTTTTAATGTAAAGATCAGTGATTTAGACCCAAGACTTGGCTACTATTGAATTACCAGCAATTATTGATACAACTAACAGTCGTCCATAATAGTCACTGGGAAACCTCCAAAGCCTCTTCTAAGCATCTCTGTAATCTCTCTTGGCTTCCTACAGAGGTGAGACTCAGGCCAGTCCAGATTAGGGTGGCAAACTGACAGCAACTCATTAATGAACTTGTTACATAAGGATGGAGTATAGCTGAGGGAGGAAAACTTCTATTTCCTTCTGTGAAAGCACCTCTTGCCAAAAGTCATTTCAAAATGAAAGTTTTCTTCAGTGAAAGAAAAACAATGAATAGGCCAATGAAAAGCCCAGTCAAGAACAGCCAAAGATCAAAAGAACTTAGAAATAATGACAAACTGAAATGTTGTGTTTTTGTTTTGATGGCCAAAGAAAGAAAAGTGGCTTTCTTTGGGCAACCAAGTTACAAGAAAATAATAATTAAAAAACCATAGCCTTGCTTCTCCCCTCTCTCCCACGACATACCTTCATGATAGCTTCCAGATAAGCGGTCCATATCTTCTGTGTTTTGGCAATGGCAGAAAAATAAATTTTATTCGAATTTGCTGAAAGGTTAAAATATGATTTTCTATTTAGTAACTTTGGAAAGGCTACAGTGTTCTCTCTACCTCAGCCTCGTTTCAGAACACTTACCTACAATGCTTTTTAGGGGGCTGATGGCATTCATGAGGGTTTTTAAAGTATCCTGCACAGTTCTGTCTCGCAAGATAATTTTCTGAAACATGCTGAGGAAATTCTAAAACAAGAAGGCATGATCGAAGAGCAAAACATAATGAATAAATACTCCAGTTAACTAAAATGCTATGCAGAACACAAACTAGCTGCATTCACACAACGCTACAAATAGGATGACAGGGAAGCAGCAACTTCCAGTTCCCATCAGAAACACCCCTGTTAGGAGGAGTTGCTGGTTTCCAAGATGAAATTCACAAGAACAGTCTACCCATAAAAATACTATGCTGGCCAAAGAAACTCCAGTTTATTCTCAGTTCTTATCTATTTAACAGGAGTCATATACACATGCCTGATATCAGTCTAGGAAAGCACGAAAGAAAGGTTAAACGAACTACTCTCTTCTCCGCCAGGGTAGCAGAAAAACGCACGAATGCCAAAAAGCTCACCTGTAACTCTTTGACAATCATAAAGCACAGAAGCCTGTCTAACCCATTCAGACCGAAAGTCCCCAAGGTGTTCTGGATCTCTGAGAAGAGGCGGCTGCTGGTCACCTCTTGATGGGTTTTCATATCATACCAAGTATTCAGCTGGTCAATGTGGCATGTCATTCTAAAACAAAAACAAAACAAACTCAAAACCCAAAAGCAGCTCAGAATTCATCCTGAAGGGATGTGGGATGCAACAGGATTAGGGGCATTGGATAGGAAGAACAATGGTTTCATGATTTGCGCTTTAATAACCTCTGCATCTAGGCACCCAAGACATCTCACGGTGAACGTTCACTGGGCCAGAAAGGCAAAATTCAGTTAAATCACCTCTTCCTGCCCTTGCTATGTGACCAGTTTGACTGCTTCATTTCCACTGGGTTGGGCTGCTGTTTGGAGTCCTGTCTTGAAGACAAGGCTAGATTCGGCCATCAGGCTGGAAGGCTTTAGAGCCCTGTTGTCTCTCTGGAGGGTCTTTCTTTAAATATCCAGAGACTAGGGACAAAACACAGTCTTGTGTCATTTCCAATTTGGTAAGAAAGGAACTTCGAATCCTTGTGTCCTCACATCTGAGACTATGATGACAAAGCCATTTCCTCTTTCCTCCCAGTTCTGGTCATTGACCAGCGATTCCCTTTTAGACTCAGGAGTGTGACGATGGCAATGATAACAACCAACAACGTTTACCGAGCGCTTCCTATGTGTCAGGCACTGGGCCAAGACCTTTCCGTGTGCTCACACTTCATCCTCAGAATAGCTGTGATGTACGAGCTGTTTGACCTTCATTTTATAGATGAAATAACCGAGGCTTCCAACACCATACCCATAACCACCATTTTAATGGTTCTCAAATGTTGGCGTACGGACCTAAATCACTGGTAGAGCATGTTAAAAAACAGACGCCCAGATCCCATTTCTGGAGAGTTGGATTGGGTAGGTCTGGGGTGGAGTCCCAGCCTCTACCTTCAACAGCCTCCACAAAATAATATGCCCTCAATCCTAAGAGCCAATACATATCTTTACTGAAATGAGGCTTGGGAGGGAATTAAAAGAGGCTCAGGAGCTAGGGAATTTTAAATTTGGAAGTAAATGGAAGAACAAGATGACTTCCAGAGCCACAGTCTACTTTCAGGCCTCAGTGTCCTGCTTCCAGCGCTCAGTGCTGGCACTTTGAATGCGTCAGTTGAGAGGCTCCCAATTTTGATGATGAAATCATATACGACATGGAAATCCCAATCATGCTTAATCCTTTCTGCCAGTATTAACACGGCACTAGGTGAGTCAGGTGGACAGTTTTCTAGGAGGGCTTCGGTGACCAACCCATGGGTGCCCAAGAGAAGTCAAAGAGCGTTTCGGATAATTTACGCTTTCTGGCCCATGAGGCATAGACAGAACTCATTTCTGCTGAAGGTGACATCTGGTTTGTGAAGCTTCATAAGTTTCGAAGGACAAAATCAGCCTGAATTTGAAGGTAGTATAAAGAAGACGTGTGATACGGACATTCAACTTACACAAAGCCAACTACGCACGCACAGCTGAACTGAAAAAGAAGAGAAATCATCTTTCCATGGGTAAGCACACCAGGCGGAATGACTGAACAAGCACGACCCAGGGGTGAACATAAGACAGCAGGCAGGAGCCTGCTTTCCCCTTGGTTGGGCTTAGTACCAACTGCTTCATCAGAGGCTCAACTGAAAAAAAATGAGGAAAACTAGCTCAGCTGGACTTCTGAGACAGGCAGCGTCAAGCCTCCACTGTGGTGCCCACCTGAAATATTCTCAGGGCTGTTTTGATTATGAGATTTTCACCTATGTGACTGTATATAAACTGTGAGTCATGGCTGCAAGTCTGCCCTTGAATGACACATGCTTTAACAGTTGGGTTCCAGAGTCAGAGCACCCGATGTGTATTCTGGGTCCACTGTTTATTAACTTCTGGGCAAGTGATTGAGCTTTTCTGTGCCTCAGTTACTTTGATTTAACGTGGGACGAATAACAATGCCTACCCCTTAAGACTGCTGTGATGAGTAAGTGAAGGATGTGTGCCAGGGGCTAGGAAGAGTGCACAAGGTGAGTGCTCAAGAAATGCTGGTCCTGGGACTTCCCTGGTGGCACAGTGGATAAGACTCTGCGATCCCAATGCAGGGGGGGCCCAGGGTCGATCCCTCGTCAGGGAACTAGATCCTACGTGCACCGCAACTAAGAGTTCACATGCCGAAACTAAGGAGCTGGTGAGCCACAACTAAGGAAGCCGCATGCCGCAACTAAGGAGGCCACGTGCTGCAACTAACGGGCCTGCCTGCTGCAACTAAGACCTGGTGCAGCCAAATAAATAAATATTAAAAAAAAATTCTGGTCCTTATGCAGAAGTGCCTGGGTGGGGCTAAGAAACAAGGAGGTCATCTTAAAAGGTCAGGGTATGAGCTGGCAAGTGCAAGAGCCAGTGACTGCAATGCAGGAGTGTGCCATAGGTACACAGGCACAGAGGAGCAATTTGGAATTTTAAAAGTTTTAATTAAACCAGAGAGTCCACAAACCCAAGTGAGTAAAATGTCAGCTGGAAAGCAAGAGAAGCAGACTAAAATAAGAGGTGGCCGAACAGACCTTATAATTGTTTTCATCTATATGTCTTTGGACTGGGGTCTCCTCAGTCACACTGAGGAAAACATGCAGTCTCAGAAAAAGTGAAGTTAATAAACCCATTAGAAAGGCTCCAATTGTGGCAGGAACAAGGGTGTGATCTAAGTAGATGTGATATACGTTTAGAGAGACACTGTCCATGGCGTTCAAAGCCCAGTGGAATTCAGATACACCTACTTTGGGTCCGTGATCCGCAAGATTTCTCTGCAGAGTCTACCAATAAATGTTACGGACTCATCCACAGGGGTAAACTTTGGTATTGGAATATGTGTGGACTGGTACATACTTTGCCAGTCTTGAATCTAGGAAAAAAAAAAAAAGAACCCCAAGAACATAAATATTTAGTACATCTTTGATAAGGTAACCTACTTATCCTTTACTCACATAGTTTTACAAAGACAATGTTGCATGAACAGTGAATATAAATGCTCCTTGATTTTGAAGAAGAAATTTTCAAAATTGTATTAATAGCCTCTCAGAAACGCCACATATAATATATATAAAAAAAGAAATATCTTTGAAAAAGTGAAGTGATTGAGGAGAAGTGGAAAAAGACAAGAATTTCTGGCTTTCTGTCTTATAAGTTAACATGTATCAATGTAATAATAAAATCAAAAATATAAGGCTGGAAGATACATAATCTTTTGAAAATGTCACCTGAATCATGTCAGTCACCTAATTAAAAACTTGCAGAGTGGCTCCTTGTTAACTACCAACTAAAATCAGTCTTCTCAGCGGTGACACTTAAGAATTTGGTGCTCAAGTAACCCAATAAAAAAACAGACATGGGGCTTCCCTGGTGGCGCAGTGCTTGGGAGTCCGCCTACCGATGCAGGGGACACGGGTTCGTGCCCCGGTCCGGGAAGATCCCACATGCTGTGGAGCGGCTGGGCCCGTGAGCCATGGCCGCTGAGCCTGCGCGTCCGGAGCCTGTGCTCCGCAATGGGGGAGGCCACAACAGTGAGAGGCCCGCGTACCGCAAAAAAAAAAAAAAAAAAACCACAATGAGATGCCATTTACACACACTGGGATGGCTATAATTTAAAAAAAAAAAAAAAAGGAAATTAACAAGTGTTGGAGAGGATGTGGAAAAACTAGAACCCTCAGACACTACTGGTGGGAATGAACAAATGGTGCAGGTACTGTGGGAAACAGTTTGGTGGTTTATAAGTTAAATGCAGAATTACTAAATGACCCAGCAATTCTGCTCTTAGGTATACACTCTGATCAAACCCAGCTGACCTCCTAACTCTTTGGAACTCCTGATCACTCGAGTTATAACGACTACACCAGACAGCTTCATTCTGTAGCCATTTAATTAATTAAGTCTGCTTTCTCCTTAGGACAGTAAATTCCGAGAGGTGAGGTGTCATATAAACTTTTCTGTGACCCTCACAGCTTCTGAAGGTATTCGTGACTGTGTAGTGGTTACTGATTTTTAGTAACTATTGAAATAAACTTTGTTGTTGGCATTTCTGAGGTTTGGGGCACGTACGGGGCATGTCAGAAGTAACAAATAGAGTCAAGCATATTAAAATCTATTTAGATACCTTTGTTCTTAAGAAGTTATTACACTCTTGTTCCACATTGTAATTTATAATACGAGATACTTCCTCCTGCCAAATCTTCAGACCGTAAATGTTGACATAGTCCTGAATGTATTCAAAAGAACGATGGAACCCATCCATGGTAGCTCCCAGCTCTTTCAGCTTTGGCATCAATTCACTTGGCTGTGCATAATAAGAAACAGAAACCTATTATATTGTCATAGACTGCCACCCCCTAATACCTACATTAGACTTTAAAGGATACCCCAAGTGAGAGACCGCAGTGACGGTTTGGGACAGCTCTGGAAATACTCATTTCCTACCTCATCTAGGAGGAATGGTAATTTATGCCAGACATCCAGCAAAGAATAGATTTCATTCATTTGGAAAGAAAGCCTCATATAAAAGAATATATAAAAACTGAATGTCAGTGATTTCTCTCATATCATTTGATGACTCTAATCTTAAGAGTTAAAACATTTTAAATTGAATTTACTGATGTGAAAGGTACTCTAGATGTAAATTTCAGGCCTATTCTTTTTCTCTTGAGAAAAATGACCATATTCCCAGAAAGATCAAGCAAAAGAAAAAATTACAGCCTTTATAGTGCCAATCTGTTTTAGGTTTAACAAATTCTTTTCGCTATGAGAAGGAACCTGGAATCATAAACATCAGTTTAATTCTTAAACTTGGGGATCAACAGGTGAAGGAAAGGACTGGTTTTAAAAAGGATTTTCTTATAATATGAATGGATTATAATATAGGATCAAAAAACATATCAATTGACTGTACTGAACATGATATAGTAGATATATGTTAGAAGGTAGGAAAGGTCTTGTTCATAACAGTTAAAAATGGTGTTCTAGAACATTCTGCAAGCCGAGTAGAGGGAAAGGACAGACCCACTTTGGTGATCTGGTACCTTGGCTCGAGGGTTGAAGATCAATCCCCTATGAAGAGCAAAAGCCACACGCTTAACCAGCTCCTTCCTTATTCCATCCTCCAGCAGTTGTTTTGGGTCCACCTAAGTACAAATCGAAAAGCAATAAATTCCAGGAAGGAAAAGCTCAGTCCTGAAGAAATCCGGAAGAAAGATAGTTTCCAGAGTCCGTAAGGGAGCACTTTCCTATCTCATTACTTGACAATCAGGATTTCTTTTTTGATTTTGTGCAGCTTGGATAGAATTATTAAAACCTGTCACCTCTGTAAGACTTGGTTTATCTCAGTAAAATTCATGATAATTTTACAACATGACATTTCAAAGATGATGGGTATGGAAAGTTTTAAACTGCCTCACATTTTAATCATTTCATTAAAAGTTAAAAGTGCCTCTTCTCATCACAGGAGGAGGTGGGAGATTGAAGGGCCTGCATCTGAAGTCAGTGCACATGTCTCCTATGGAAGTTATCTGAGGGCATCTATAGTCATATGAGCAAAATCAAGTTTGGGGTTGGACCACTGAAGATTTAACAATTCTCTTTTCTTTCAGCATTCTTGGGATGCTGTTAGTAATTAGGGAGATAAAACAGGAAAGCAACTCTGCTATCTAACTATATAGCTTATTTTGCTGATTCTTTTTTTCTGTAATGAGAAAGCTTTTGTTATTCCCTAAAAAAGTCTCCTGTCAAATCCATAAAACATCAAATAGTTTTAACACACTCCTTTGAATTCCCTGAGACTTGTTTCTTTTACTTTTAAATTTGTCAAGAGCTATTATTTTAAAAGTTATAAAGACAACTGATGTGTTCCATCTGGGTTTGATAATATTTAAATTTCAAGGAAGATAACTGGAATGAAAAAGTTGCTGAAAATACAAAAGCCAGAGGAACTTGTTGGACTACAGCGTGACCATGCAATCAGTAAGAGCCAGACTGTAGAGATAACAGGTCAAAGGCCTTGGGTTCTTCAATAGACAAATTGTAAGGAAAGAAAGGAATGAGGGAGAAATCTGAGGAGTGAATCAGCCTTAAAAGACGTATATTTTTTGAAATGCAAGTCTGAACCAGAGTGTCTAGAAATTTATTTTTGGATAATAAAACTAAACAGAGAGACTGGGAGTAGGTCAAGGCCCATGAGGAGGATCCTGCGGTGGGAGCTGTGGCTGAATTATATCTCTGGGCTTGAGTGGTGGTGAGAATGAGTGGTCTTTACTTTATAATAACCGATCAAGCTACATAATTGTTTCTGTAGCTTTCAGCATCTGTGCTCTATTTTACAAGAGAAAGGTAAATTATAAATAAACATAGTCAATGAGAACAAAATCAAAGAAGTAACATGAAGTTTCCAAAGAAATATTCCTTATAAAAACAGATTTAGTGGAAAAGAGTTAAATGTTTTATGAATCTCATGGTCTTAAATGGCTCTACCCAATTCTTCCTAGACTTCCACCAATCTGTGGAGTGCTCCCAGGGAAGGGAAAGACCCCTTCACACAGCCCCTTCCTCGCAGTTCTGTCCACACCCCCTGTGGTTAACAACAGTTAATAGTTTTCATTGGATCCTCCAGACCTTCCTCTGTTAATTTATATACATATTTGTCCTTAAATATATTTAATTTAAAAAACTATATGGGATCATAATACATACACATACATACACACACTGTTCTGCAATTGCTTTTTTCACTTTACGTTTTGGAAATCTCCTAGTGGCAAGTTACTTTTGAATGGCAGCAAAGCAATCCACAGTATGAATGCACCATGATATATTTAGCCATTCTCTTACTCATAAAATGTCTAGGTTATTTCTATTTTTTTGGCTACATCTAACAATGAACATTATATGTATATCCCTGTGTGTATCTCACTTATTTTAAGTCATATTAACTAAAGTGATTTTAAACTCTTTGTAAGGGTTTGAAATAGATCCTCAACATTCAAAGGTTAAAGATTAGTGAAAGCCACAGGATCCCACAAAAAGCCCTGAGTTGTTAAACTGGCAGAGACAGTCTACTAAGTTTGAATGAGGTCAAGATGATATTCCCTCTGCTTTTATTATCTGAAAGATTCTGGCAAAAGCCTTACATTTTTCTTAAGCAATCCTTTCTTTGATAATTATTGCTAATTACTAGGTTTTATTACATCCTACTGGTCACTTTGCATTTAAGACTAACCTGGTCCTAGGATTTATCATCATTTAAGGATGAGTTAGGAGTGATAACCTGTGTGTGTACTTACTCTCTGAATATCAACTGAATTAAACTGGCACCAGGCCTAAAGCATGTTTAACAGAATCTATTAATATTCCAGGACTACAATGGTATTTCTTTAACACATTTCCAGAAACCACATGGTAAAGTTCTGTTTCTATTTAGGTTCATTTCCTCTATTTTCTTGGATTTCATTAACACAAATGTTATATCGATGGAAATTTTTTTAAAAATCGGAAATGTTAAGATTTTGCTAATTATCAGACAAATGGAAAAATAAATAAAAGCACCATGAACTGTGTGACTGGGTCACATCACATCACTAGTCATTTTAGAATTACAAATTAAAACAGCAATGAGATACCACCTTAGACCCCTTTGGAGAACAAAAATTAGAAAGTGGATAATGGCAAGTATTGGCAAAAATGGGGGAAGATACACAGGAAACAAGTCATGTGAGGAGGCATTCTGGCATTATTGAGACAAAGTAAGTACAAATGTGCCCTAAGACTCAGTGACCCACTCCTGGGCAAGCAGATTTCAGAGCAATTCTTACACAGGTCTGTGCTAGGAACAAGTTCAGAGATGCTCATCTCGACGCTGTTTATGATAACAGGAAGCACAGGTGTGAAAATGAGTGACATAGGTGTCTGTGCCCTGGGGAACAGTTAAGTAAAATGTGGAATTCTCTGCAGCAGCAAGAAGTAACCAACTACCTGATCCACAGCAACATAAATTAACTTCAGAGCAGTAACTAGTGAGAAAAGTTGGAAAAAGAATGAGACTTAGAGAAGAATATGATTTAGATAAATCAAAACCATGTGCATACATAAAATAACACCACTTGCTAAAAATAAGGATACTTGCATATTTATGGAAAGAAATCAAACATATAGAGTGGATGCTATGGGGCATGGGAATGGGCGTGGGCATCCAGGAGAAGAGAAGGAACAAAAATAAGAGAGGAGCTTGCATGCCTCAGTGATGGCAATGGCCTGTGGTCAGAGGGGTACAATGATCTCAGCTCTCTGCACCTGGAGTGCGGTATAAAAATACTAAAAAGAAAGAAAGGCTGCAGGCAGGGAAGGGAGAAACAGTGACTGAGCGAGCTACTTTGCCTAAGGGAATTGAACTATTTTGTTTTCTTTGTTATTACAAAAATTCAATAAAACAGATTTTTGTTAGAGTTAAGGAACTCCTGGGTGTTATGAAAAATAAGGATTATAATGCTGTCTTTTCCTCTGTCAATGAGTAAAGTGAAGATGTGAAATGAGTAAAGTGAAGATGTGAAAGCTGCATGTGAAACAGCAAGAGGCATAAGATGGTAACACTACCCCACAGGATAAATTCTGCAATAATCCAAAGGACGAAGACTTACTATGGGGCCACAAAGGCCAGCATTAAGACCATTACCTTGATGATGCCGACCAAAGTTGTTTTCATCATTAAGATGCCTTCAGTAAAAATGGAAATAGCATGAGTAAGCTTGGCAACCTTTAACAAAGAAAAAGAGGTTAATGAAGTACTTCTCATAAACGACCCATCACTTCTATGGGAAGCTAAAATAATTGACTAACAGTTCTGGAATGGGCAAAGACAAGAGAAGCAGCGTGCAGCTTTAGGACACCTGTGTATACACGTCCTGGTCAGAAATGAGGTTCTGTGGTGTTGACCACTGTTAGACATACTGGGTGACTGAGTCAGAAGATGTTAAATCATTCTTTACCCTTTGACCAATCATTTCCCCTTCTTTGGGCCTCAGCATTTCACGCATAAGATGAAAGCAGGACTCAGTGATATGGATGATCCCTTCCAAAAAGAAAAGGCTCAAGGGGATTCTGAGAAGGTAATCTCCTACTGCCATCCACATTCTTTTCAAACAACACCAGGAGACATTGGTAAGGTTGACTGAGGCTATACTTTTGAGTTAGAATCAATGTAGAAATTCTGAGCTTGACAATCTCAATTCCTGATGTAACTTTTGGAGCTGTGTCAGAGGATATGAAATTGATGCTTGTTATCACATTTTCAAATTTCACTTGATTTTATTTTTCACATCTTTAAGTTCAGGGAAAAAGAAAAGCAGAGGTGTTTTGGGAAGAACAATTTCTGAGGCTGCTTAACTGTGGAGCGGCCTTAAAAGTCTGGCTGCAAGAAGTGGTTCACGGAATATGGATTACTTTGAGCCACTGATTTTGTGTACAAAGCAGGAACCTGAATGGGAAAAGTCTAGGCAATGTAGCCCAAAGAGAAAAAAGGTTGATGTGCTGAGACTATTCAAAAGAAAAGTAACCAGCTGAGCTCTACTCCCTCTGAGAACATTCTGGCAGGCGAGGCCGTGAATGACACCAGGACAAGTTAACGAATGAAGGTATAATTGCACTAAAATGGCAAAACCTGGTTATTGTTGAGAGTGTGGAAAAAGATCAATAGACCAGAATTGATCTGGTGGCCCTGGGGATATGGCAGGTGACACGGACCTGTGCTATTTCATGGTTTGGGGGTTTCAAAATCAAAAGGCAGAAGTCAAAGGGACACAGCACCTCATATCGTGGGCCAAGCTGGGCATAGTCCCTCAGCTTGTCCTTGTCCAGCCGGGTCGGCACTTCAATGATATCGTGGGTCTGAAGCTTTATGATCTTTAGAAGGGAAGTAAACATGCTTTCCGGAATGATCTGCAAAACCTTTAATGAAAGGGAAAAGAGGAAAAAACAAACGAACCTCTATTTTATTTCTTAGCTGGTAAATGGTATGATGACAGTAAGCACAGTGCCCGTGTATATGAACAGCGCTTCGTCTGCAGGAAGGGCTGCTAAGGGCCTCACAAGAGCTATTTTAACAACTGCTCTCAGGCACAGGGCTACTTTCCTTCAAACATTAATTGCTCACAGGATATAGAGCTAATTCTCATAGAAATGATGCAAAAGATGTATCATTTCCACATTACAAGTTTCTAAAAGGCTGAGGTTCAGAGATGTTAAGTAACTTGGCTGTAAAGCCCTCAGCTAGGATGTGACACAGGAAAATTTTGAATCCAGGCCTGTCTGGCTCTATGCTACACCATAAGTTGTTGAAGCAAGGACCAAAGTGCTCCTGAAAACTTTGATTAAGTTCCAACTAGAATGTGCCGGATCTAGATCTGGCTCTTTTACCAACTATGACTTTGAAGAAGTCACCAAGATCTCTGTTTCTCCATCTCTACGCCTATAAAATGGGGGCTAATACCATCAGCATTTAAAAAATAGGTATGAAAGTTCTTTGAAAGTAAAAACACAGCTGCACATCCACAGTACTGGTTAAGAATAAGTTTATTTTCAGGTATTGCAAATTTCTGGAATTAAATTAAGAATAAGGGAAAGGTATACAACACTACTATGTATAAAACAGATAAATAACAAGGACCTGCTGCAGGGAACTATATTCAATGTCTTGAAATAACCTATATATATGTAAAATTGAAGCACTTTCCTGTACACCTGAGGCTAACACAACATTGTAAATTAACTATACTTCAATTAAAAAAAAAAGGATAAGGGAAAGGAACACAGGTGTACTTTTTTCAGGGTCCCAAGCACATCGTTTGTATTTAAAACAGCAGTTAGTTTGCCATTAAAATAAACATCATCTTGATGCATTTCTTACCTTTCTCACATAGGACACCAATTCGCCAGAATAATATTGAGATACACTGAGAAGGTCAGGGCTATTTGCTTGATTAATACGAAGAAGGGGCAGGTCAAGGGCAGAGGCAAGCTGGAAGGAAAATAAGATGTATCTGTTTCTCTGTTTCAAAAAGTCCTAGAAATCTCTCTTTTTCCAGAAACAGTAACATACAACAAAACTCTTGGGCTTTGCCCAAAAGAGAGCAACTACTGAACTTCATCAGTGTCATTCATAGTTTCTGACAAGATACAATTTTTTAAAGCGACAGTCATCTGCTACGGCAGTGGTTCTCAAATTGTGGTCCCTGGACCAGCAGCAACAGCATCACCTGAAACCTTGTCAGAGATGCTGATTCTCTGCCCCACGCAGATTTACTTAATCAGAAACTCCGGGGCTGGGGCCCAGCAATCTGGGCTGTGACAAGCCTTCCAGGTGATTCTCCTGCATGCTCAAATTTGAGCCACTGAGCTACAGAAGGCAGCTACTCCTCTATGGAAATCAGACATTCTGATTGATGGACTACCATACTGAGTCTAATCTAAGATGACACGGCTTGTAAGAAGTGCCATTATTTTATGCACTGCTCAAAAAGAAAAAACATGCCGACAACTATGATATGCCATCAATTATACAACACATCCCAATTACAGAGATGTTAAAATATGAAAGTGCACCTCAGAATTGATATATATGGTAATTCCATCAGAAGACACTGAGTAAATTATTTGTTCATTTATCACGAAATGAAATTACCTTGAGAGAAGGGCCAATCTATGCCCGTGTTGTTTAACATTATTCCCTAACCTTTAGAGGAGATCCTACATTGTAGCAGAGGCTCAACAAGAATTTTTTTAAATGAATAAAAGGATTTTATTCATGTCTAGGGAATAAAGGACCCATAGGACACACATTTTTAGTATCCTGTAAAACTTTAAAAAAATCTATTTCTTCATTTAAAAACAATTTTCTCTAAGACACTCTAACTTCTATTATTAATTCAAACGTTATTTCTGGCATCTTTTGCAACTATGCTCTCATGAAAAACTTCCTAACAATTTTCAGTCTATAAAAATACTTAAATTAACCAACTTTCTAAAAGGGTGAAATCTTGAACTGAATTAATGAATGAGGTAATAATGAAGGCCAACTCTTCCCTAGTAACTGAGAATGCAATCTCACTGTTATCTGCTTACCTTTAGGAATGTAGCTCTGAGTTTAGTGACCATGGATGGGTTTACCCTTATGCTCTCTTGCATGATAGATGTGAAACTGTAAAAAGAGATAAATAGTAAGGAAACATTCATAATGGCCTTCATTGAGGACAAATGCCAGGCTGTCCATGTTACCTGTCAATTAACTGCCAAGCAAAAGAAAGGTCCCCAACGATCTGCATTGTGATCAGGACCTCCTCTTTAATGTTAATGGTTCGGATCATTTGGTGGAGAAACTTGCGAGTATCAGCAAGAAATTGACACACTTGCAGATTTGATTCCAACTGGTGAAATTCTTGAACCTGAGTTACATAAACACACTGGATTTTAAAATTCTGAATGGCCTGTATAGTGTCCACTTTTCCTTGAAAACACTTCCAATAAAGCGCACTACTTACTAAGAATGTCTTGGCAAAATTTTAATTTCAAATTATAATTTCAGAAATGTATAAGCCAAGTCAGAAAACAATGCATAATTTCTGAGATTAGAAAATGTTCCACAATTTCTTATCCTGTACATATATGACGTAATAAGCAAATATTCCCATTTTCCATTTCAGTATCAATAAACATGTATTGAAAAATCCTTCTAATTCTGAAAATTTGCAGGATTGTTAAAAAACAAAATAAGTCACATCACAACCAAGGTGCTGGCACTTGCACATCTTTAAGTTCTTTTGATGGGCTCTTTAAAACAAAATAATGATTCCACAGCGTTTTGACATTTTAAGTACATAATTCAAGGGGCCTGGGCTATATGCCAAAAGAAATAATGCAAAAGAGAAAAAGTATCAGAGATTTACAAAGTTGCTTATAGTGGTACTATAGACTAGAAAATCCAAAAAACAACCAAAATAGAAATAGCACAAGTGAGCAATTGTTCTGGAATAGCTAGGGAAACTGGCATGCTAACAATGGAGCATTATACTGTGTTGCTATAATAGTGGCCATCCTAAAATCCTTGCAAAAGTAAGAAAGAGCCTATAAGAAAGTCTTGCAAGTGAAAAAAGTCTTAATGTACACTTATATCAATTGGAAAGGGTTCCAGACGAGGATGGATGATGTTTCATATAATCTATATGTTTATTGTTCTGATGTTTTTGTTTATTTTCCTGGTTAAACATACAATTAAACTTTTAAGAGTGTGGAGGTATAGGAATTCCCTGGTGGTTAGGATTTGGCGCTTTTACTGCTGTGGCCTGGGTTCAATCCCAGGTCGGGGAACTGAGATCCCGCAAGCCACGTGGTGTGGTCAAAATTTTAAAAATACAAAAAAGGATATTATAAAAAAAAAAAAGGAGTGTGGAGGTATAATTCCTTTTTTTTGTACAATCATTTTTAAGTAGATAAAAGGAAACTTTTTTTCAGAAAGAATACATCACTTTAAAAGCATATGATCGTTATACAACTATTCTCATTTTTGTGTATCCATCCCTTTCTAGGTTTTCTCCCCAAGGCACACACTTTTTACAAACCTAAAAGTAGCGCATACAGTGCAATTTTGTTTTTGCTTTTACCTCCTTACCACAGTTTTCCCAATGTTTCTATACTGTCTTCATAATTTTTTTTCCAAGACTACATGTTCCTGCAAATTGAAGTATCATAATTTTTACTACCATTCTCTTTATTATTGTCATTTAATTATTTTCGCAATTTTAGGGCACTGCATATAATATTACAGTGAACACATTAATTTATATTGCTTTTGCTTCTGATAAAATATTCTCTTAAATATATTTCCAGGAGCAGACTCCTGGGTAGGTCAAAAAATATGATTCATGATCCGAGAACTGTCATTTAAAAAGACTTGCCTTACCTCTTCCAAAGCCTGTATTAGTTGCACAGTTTTTCTGCCCGCAGCAGTAGAATCATCATAATTTAAAGACAATATTTGTTTTGAGATCTCTCTGAACCAAGCTTGAAGATTTTCTATTAATACAGAAACAAGAAAAGACTACTGAAATCCCAGAATTCCTGCAGTGGTGGCTTTGAATTTAATTAAGTAATCCTTTACAAATCTAGCTCTTAGTCACAGAGCTTTTACTATGTACCTAACATTGGTCTTAGGAATTTTCCAAACAATAACAACAAAAATGCCTCGGGCACGTGACCTAGTAGAAGAGATGAAACTTTCTATATAAATAGCTTAGTTTATAACACCTGGCAGAAAAGGGTTAAAGGCCCAAGTTTTGGGTGGGCCAAAAAGTGCCTTTGGTTTTTTAAGTAAAAATAAAAGACACATTTTTCATTTTCACCAAGAACTTTATTGAACAATGTAATCACACTTCTGTTCCACTACTTTCTGCCAATTTTCAGGCAACTTCATAATTCCATCTTCCCAGAACTTTCTCTGTTTTTGAGCAAAGAACTGTTCCAGGTGCCTTTTACAGTCTTCCAGGGAACTGAAATTTTTTCCATTAAGAGAATTTTGTAAAGACCGAAATAAAGGGAAATCCAAAGGTGCAATGCCAGGTGAATATGGCAGATGAATCAGAACTTCCCAGCCAAGCTGTAACAGTTTTTGCCTGGTCATCAAAGAAACATATGGTCTTGAGTTATCCTGATGGAAGATTATGCGCTTTCTGTTGACTAATTCTGGACACTTTTCGTCGAGTGCCACTTTCAGTTAGTCTAATTGGGAGCAGTATTTGCTGGCATTAATCATTTGGTTTTCCAGAAGGAGCTCATAATAGAAGATTCCCTTCCAATCCCACCATATACACAACATCACCTTCTTTGGATGAAGACCGGCCTTTGGTGTGGTTGGTGGTGGTTCATTTCGCTTGCCCCACGATCTCTTCCATTCCACATTATTATACAGTATCCACTTTTCATTGCCCATCACAATTTGTTTTAAAAACGGAACGTTTTCATTACATTTCAGTAGAGAATTGTATGTGGAAATATGGTCAAGAAAGTTCTTTTTGCTTCACTTATGTGGAACCCAAACATCAAAGCGATTCACATAACCAAGCTGGTGCAAATGACTTTCAACTTTTTTTGTTTTAAATTGATTTATTTTTGGCTGCCTTGAGTCTTCGTTGCTGTGCGTGGGCTTTCTCTAGTTGCGGTGAGCGGGGGCTACTCTTCGTTGTGGTGCACAGGCTTCTCACTGCGGTGGCTTCTCTTGTTGCGGAGCATGGGCTCTAGGAGCACGGGCTTCAGTAGTTGTGGCACATGGGCTCAGCAGTTGTGGCTAGCGGGCTCTAGAGTGCAGGCTCAGCAGTTGTGGCGCACGGGCTTAGCTGCTCTGTGGCATGTGGGATCTTCCCGGACCAGGGCTGGAACCCATGTCCCCTGCATTGGCAGGTGGATTCTTAAGCACTGCACCACCAGGGAAGCCCAGACTTTCAACTCTTGATTTGGATATTCTGAGTATGTCGGCTATCTCCCGTGTGGTAAAACGTTGATTGTTCTCAATTATTGTTTCCATTTGATTGCTATTGAACCAACTGGTCTACCTGACTGCGGAGCATCATCCAGAGAGAAATCTCCAGCACGGAACTCTGCAAACCACTTTTGACACGTTCGATCAGCCACAGTACCTTCTCCATAACTGCACAAACCTTTTTGTGCGTTTCAGTTGTGTTTCATACCTTTCTTGAAACATAATATGCCACAAATGTTGTTTTTCTTCCATCTTCAATATTAAAATGGCTATTCAAAAATTCACCAATTTGTATGTGTTTTTTTAAATGCATGCTGATGTGACAGGTGTCACATACAATCTAACAAAATTGTTTCAAATGAAGTTAAAGACAACTAAGTGCTACTAGAGCCACCTTACGGGAAAAACTGAACAAACCTTTTGGCCCACCCAATAAATGTTGTAAACTGATGTGTGCAAAGACAGTAGTCCAGGTGGGGAGGAGTCAGGAAGGAAGTGAAGGATGTGACACAGAGTTAAGAGGATGGGTAGAGGTCTGGACAGGCAGAGGGAGGGAGAGGGAAAATCTGTCCCTAGATGAAGAGACAGACATGAGCAGAGGCTTTGGGGCAAAATGACAATGGCGCGTCTTGGAGGGCAAAGAGGGACCAACATGCAGGAGAGTGAAGTGTGAGTGGTGAGTTGTGGGGAGTCTGAATGGATTAGGTGGTGCCATTTGCTAACCAGCCAGGCATTTCTCAAGGCAGAGATGGGGAAGGCCGTTAACATGCTCTGAGGACCCTCAGTGAATCAGGCCAAGTTTTAAGCTTAGTCTCATTTAATTTTCACAAAAATCTATGGAGTAGGAATTAAAAGCCATTTCTCAGATGAGGAAGCTGATGCCCAGAGATATTAAGAACCCTCTGCTGCGTCACACAGTTACTAAATGGAAGAGCCAGGACGTGCAAACCGTCAAAGGCTTCGCTCTTTTCACTTCACCAAGTTGATTCTGTAAAGGTTTTTTGTTTTATCAATGGAATGATTTCACTTTAATAAAAGCACTTAAGGGCTTATAATCTAAGTTATTTTAAGAACTGACATAAAGAATTAGCTATAATTTTAAAGATTTTTTGTAGGACTGAGGGACAGCTATGGAGTAGCTAAAAGAACATAGGAGGTAATGAGTGAGATACAGGCTCTGGACCTTTGTTACCCTCGGCAAGTGATTATAAAATAATAAAGATGTTTATCTCACAGGGTTCTAAGGATCAAATGAGAAATATCTGTGAAAGTACTTCCTAACTGAAATATGCTATAGAGCCAAAAAAGTATAAGATATTGTTTTGAATAAGCTTTGAAACATTGCTGGTATTTATAAGAACTTAAAAGAGACTAGAATACAGATTAATGTGTCTGATTAGACAACTAATCTGGTTAGATTGGTCCTGGTGATTCTTTGTTTTTTAGATACAATATGCTGACCTGCAAAACATGTTGCCAATTTATATCACACCACTAAAAACTGCTCTAGTTTTTCCAATAGGAATATTAATGAAATTTGGACATATTTTTTGACCAGCAACAAATAAATCAAATACAATAGTCATAAGCTTGTATTAACAATAGTGAAGCTTTTTAAAATAAAAATCTATATTATTCATCAATTATACTGTATAATTAACTTTATCGGAAATAAATTTGACAGTGAAAACAAATATTAAGCATCAAAAAAAATAATTTGTCACCTTAAAATTCAGAATGGTTTTTCAGGGGCAATTTGAAAGGATCCTATCTATAGGACAGGAGCCTTCAAAAATTTGAAGTGATACCACAATTTTCCTACAGATAAAATTTCCTAAAAGAGGCAAGATTAAAATTGTTAAAGTAAAACTTGAGCTATGTTGTTTCAAAACAGTCTGCAGGTCCCCACTTGTGCCACTAGATGGCAGATGCGTCAGTGAAGAAGAACCAAATAGGACTGAACACAAGACTCTTAAGATATCATTTATGTTAGCAGTTGGTAATATTCTTGGGTGAAGTATCCTGAGAAGATCATGAAAGTTATGCCCCCATCCCCATGCACATAAAATTACACACTAATGACACACCAGTTCTGCATACTATGGTGGTAGGGGGAGGATATGACTCTATAAAATACTATTGTATTTATGAACCGGAGTACAAGAACCCATGATTTAGCCCAACCTCTTACTTCAAAGATAAGAAACCTGAAGTCCAGAGAGAATATGAGATTGCCCAAGGGAGCACAAGGCTAGAGCAACCAAAACTAAACTTCTGATCTTCATTAGCAACATCCCAGCATATAATGAGGACACAGTAATGACTTTTTACTCTGCTAGTTTCTAATAATCTGTGTATACTTTTCAAACACACCAATAACTCCTCTTCAGCAATTACCATTTTTCTCCACTCTGGTTAGGGGTTTCACTCCTGAAAAGACATCAGCAAGCTCCGTCATCCGCTCTGAGCCCTCCTTCTTGTAATGTTCCCATTTGGCCTGCTTTTCTGAAAGCATTTGCTTGAACATCTGTTGAAGAGACAGAAGAGATTTACTGATTTAAGAGAAAATCCAGCTTAGGCAGTTTACTAAGAAAGCCTGAGCGAAACCCAATTTATTATAAAAATAGGTGCCTGACATCAGTCTGATGCCACCTCTTAAGCATTACTACTTTATACAAATTGGGGGGCAAAAGCTAGACCATCTCTAAGACAGTGGCTCTCAGACCAACTGAGGCAAGGCGAGTGTTGGTTCTGAATTGGCATTAATGTCTAGGGCTAGTTCCTGAGGCCACCTGATCCAAACCCCCAAAGTTACTTTTACAGAACCTGGACATTCCCAGGCGTCTGTGATTTTTATTATGTCCATAGAGGCTTTTTTAGGAGTAAGAGACCAAGCCCAGAATTTCCTTGACTGAACTCAAATCCTCAAGGTCCTTAGGTCAACCTTGTTAAAATGCAAACTACCACCCTACTTAGGCCCTTTCCAACAGGTTCTCGTGGCTTTTAAGATGAAGACTAACACCCCGCAAGGCCCAGCGCAGGCTGCCCACCTGTCAACCTCACTTCCTACCACCTTTCTCTTGCATTCTCTCCCCTGCAGCCAACTGGTCTCTCAGATCCTTGAACTGGCCAGGCTCTTCCCTACCCAAGAGGACTTAGACATAATCTGTCCTCTCGCTGGGATGTTCTTCATCATGCTCCCCCATCTTTGTCTTAGCTAACTAACAGGTTCCTTCCTCAGCTCCCTTCTGAAACTCTTGCTTCTCTTCTCAGGGAAGCTGTCAAAGCTAGGACAGGATCCTTTATTTTAGGTACCCAGAGACCTATGTTCCTCTCCTATAGAGCGTATACCTGCTTTTACTCATTTTCATTTGTGTAATTCTCTGATTACTGTCCGCATGCCTCATTAGACTGTAACTTCCACCATCTGGTGCATTTTTTCCTATCACTGTATCCCTAATGACAGTAGGCACTAAATGCTTGTTGTTTAATCCTGTTCTTTTCCTATAAGAATGATCCCAGACAGCTAGAATCTGTAGCCTGAATCAGAGACACAGCTATAAAATCCTAATCTTTAAAAAAATTTTTAAGCATAAAAAAACTAAGACTTTGGTGATTATTCATTCAATATTTTTACCTCTTTGAGTATAAACTCAAATTGTGCAGTATCCAACAGCAATTGAAAGAGGATCTTGGGATTGTACCTAGAGTCTGTTAGAATCTGGTCCTTGATTTGACGAAGGCGTTTGTTGTTTGGGTCACAGGCTAGACATGGGAGAAAAGAGTTTCCAATTTATTAAATGTGTAGAAAATATCTATAATAAATAAGATGAATTCTTAAATACTTTCATTTCCCTTTTAAGCATTTAAAAAGTAACAAGCAAAATGTATATCAATAATAGGTCGTAAAATAAATTATATTACACCTATGCTATGGAGTATGCACAACTGAACGGTTAAATATGACATTGAATCTGACATGGAATGTCATCGTGATGTATTGTTGAATGAAAAAAGCAAACTGAGCACAGTGTTGCCAAATTTTTTAAGCGTTGTGTGGGTGGTTTATTATCGATTGTCCAATATGATGGGTCGAGCCTTTTGTCACCATTTCCTAAGTGCGTGGCCTCCTTGTGTCCTGTTTGAAGCTGCCTTTGTTTTAAGCATTGATCTCTGCCATTCAACTACGGACAGGTGTGCAGAAAAGATTTAACACAGCAGGCCCAAGACTGCCGTCTTCAAAAAGGCTTGTTTGCAAGGCCGGCTCTTGGCTGGCATTAGGGAATGTGGATTTTGGAAGAGTTCCCACCATGTTGAGAACTGGTAAGAATGGCCCACCATGCTTTAACTCTTTGTACAATGTGGTTTATTATGAACACCTGCTTTCCTCTGGGAGTTTGGAATTTTGTTTCCTGCCAGGTAGAGGCTGCCTTGATGAGCCCCCAATAAAATCCTGGGCACTGAGTTTCTAATGAGTTTCCCTGGTTGACAACATTTCACACATACTACCACAACTCATTGCTAGGGGAATTAAATGCATCCTGTCTGACTCCATCAGGAGAGAACTCTTAAAAGCTTGTGCCTGGTTTCCTCTGGACTTCACCTCAGGCACCTTTTCCCTCTGCTGATTTTGCTTTCTATCTTTTTCCTGTTACAAACCATCGCCATAAATACTACTATATGCCGAGTCTAGTAAAGCATCGAACCTGGGGTGGTCTTGGGGACCACTGATACGACATGGAAGCAGGGTTACCCACACAAAGCTGTGGCACCTCCAAACAGGAAGAACCAGACCTGAGACCATTCTGCTCTTTGTAAAGGCATGACTGGCACTCAGAGCTTTCTGGATTATCTACCACCTAGACCCCTCTCAGCCAGAGAGCTTATGGCTACTAGGCCAAGTTCACAAAATTAGGCAGTGATGACCCAGGGATAAGACACCAGATGTCTTGATTCCCTGGTCAGCATCTCAGTTGCCAAGCTAAATCATTTCAGATAAAATAAACATTATGTTTAAAAAGTATATAGGCTAAGAAATACTGATATTTGCTGAAATTGGTTTACGGGGTCAATTATTTATGTAAGAAAAAAAATAAAATAGGATAAGGTAAAATGTTTACAAGTAAAAGCTACTTAGATTGCAAATAAAGTCAAAATAAAAACTTTAAGACAATAAACACTGTCAGAAAGTTCACAGCTGATAAGGTACAAGGACCCTGATAGTTGCTCTAATATCACCCGTGCTCATTCCTGCTTTCCAGCCCCCCCATCAGCATCTTAGGAGGTCCGGCAGGTACAGAACGACCATGCTTTCCGAGCACATGTCAGTAGTGTTTTTGGTGCTTCAGTCACGGTGAAGCCTGAGCAACGCTATTTTACATATTGATTTCCAAGTTACTCCATCGGAAGGAGACTCATGACAACCTGGAGGACGGCTCAGTTTTCACGGGAAACTGCAGAGTTCTGATTTACCATGCATTCTCCAGAACTCCCTAGGAAGAAATATATTGGCACTGATGACACTGATCACACAGAGACAATTTTTCAGCTTCATGTTTGCCTAACTTAAAAAAAAAAAAAAAAACAGAAAAAAAAACAAACTTGGAAGGAGTTCCACTTGTCTTTATATTAACTCTAATTCAACAAGAAACCTTCTGATACTAATTTGCTTTCATTTTTGCACAGGAGACATCACTGTGCATTAACAATTAGCTGCAGAGAGTTAACAGGAGGGAATACGAGAAATCTGCGCCTTCCTTTCTGCGTGCCATGGCCAAAACACCATGAAAGCTAAATAAGCAGTTACTTTCCCCACATATGACTCACAGCCAGATAGACAAATCATTTGATTCTTGTAAACTCTGACCTTGTGCAATCAGGTCAGACAATTGCCAGCTCAGAAATGGAAACAGATGTGGCTGAAAAGCAGAGAACCTGGCAAGCCGAGGCTGTCCCTGGCAGGGGCACAAATCCAGGAGACCGCTGGCTTCCAGAATGTATGCACGGCTGTCAGGCACAGTTGTCCAGAAGACAAAGAGGAGGCTGAGTCACTAGAAACCCACAGTTGCCTTTACGACAGGATAAAGAGAGGGCTCGAATTGTTTATATGCTTCAGAATGTAAGACTTTTGGTAAAGAAGATTACAAGCTGAGTCAACGTAGTAAAATCCTCAAATTAGGACTGGATTTCATGTTAAACATAAACTCGACTAATTAAAGACTAGTCCACTAGATGATTCGGCCCTGTATTCATGCTGAGAGTAAACTGGAGAGAGATCTAGGCCAAGAATCGAAATGATGAAAAAAACAAAACTGGAAAGCAGCATTTGTGGGAAAGATTTGAGAAGCTGGAGATTTCTGGTGTGAAGAGGGAAGGCTGAAGAGAAATTCCACATTTTCAAAGAGATGAAGGATGAAGAAGTCCACCTGCTGTTCTCACTGCTGACCACTCACAGGATGCGGAGACAGGCGGCAGCTAGAGGAAGCGTCAAGGGCATCTTGCCTGGACGGTTTGGGAGACGGGGCTACTGTGTTACCGAGGTAGGCTGCAGGATTATCTGGCGTGTGGACAGTTTTTCTTTGAGAGACACAGTCTTACTTGAAAGAACAAGGAGGTGTTGAAAGTGGGACCAGGGTAGGTGCTCAAGGAAAGTTAGCTGAGTGAAAAACAAAAAGCAGAGGCTTGGCTTTCCAGAGCTGCTAAGTGACACCACTCTTAGGGGAAGGAGTGTGCAGCTCTGGGGGAGGGAACTCTTTAGTAATTAATATTGATCGAGCATTTACTAAGTATGAGGACTGGGTCAGCTCCGAATAAGCTCAGGTATTAGTCCAACCTACTTAATTTTGTACTATTAAACCAGGGGTTTTAAACTCATGGGTTTAGGGAATTCCCTGGCGGTCCAGTGGTTAGGACTCTGCAATTTCACTGCCACAGGCCCGGGTTCAGTCCCTGGTTGGGGAACTAGGATTCTGAAAGCCGTGCGGCAGAAAAGCTCCTGAGTCTGATGGCTAATAGGGTCTCAGAGAGGGTCATGACCCAGAAAAGATTAAGACCCCATCTACCATAATTAAGCACCCGGGTCTAGCCAGTTCCTCAGCAAAATGCAGCCATGTTTCTCTGTCCTTCCAAAATCATACTTTTCTTCCATCATTTCCCCAGACTAGAATTTCTTCTGCTTTTTACTATAAAATCCTATCAAGGGCTAGTCAGTTCCTGTCTCCTCTGTGGAGCCTTGTTAGACCACCTCTGCCCTTCTACCCCAAGCAATGTTTCTCTTCTGCTCTGGGCTCCGGACTCAAATCCTACCAACTATGTTACACATCTGGCTGTTAGGTGCTGCCCTGGCCCTTGTATTAGTTTCCTATTGCAGCTGTAACAAATTACCATAAACTCAGTGGCCTAAAAATGACACAAATTTATTCTCTCACAGTTCCAGAGGTGAGAAATCGGAATGGGTTTCACTAGGCTAAAATCAAGGTAGCAGCAGGGCTGTGTTCTTTTTTGGAGGCTCCAGGGGAAAACGGTTTTTTTGTCTTTTCCAGCATCTAGAAGCTGCCTGGACTCCTTTGCTTGTGGCCCTTTCCATCTTTAAAGCCAGCAATGGTCTACTGAGTCTTTTTCATGATGCCATCTGTCTAGTTCTGACTCTTCTGCTTCCAGAAGAGTCCAGTTTAAGGATATCCCAGTTTAAGGACACTTGTAATTATGCTGGGCCCACTGGGATAATCTCCTTTCTTTAAGGTCAGCTAATTAGCAACATGAATTCCACCTGCAACTTGAATCCCCCTTTGCCATGTAATTTAACATGCCCACAGGTTCCAGGGACTAGGCCATGGACATCTTCGGGAGGGTGGGGTGGGAAGCCATTATTCTGCCTACTACAGACCTGCAGCTATACTTTTTCATATGTAGACATCTGATCTCCTCAGTCTGACCAGTGACAAGCTCCTCAAACTTGGGAGGTAAATTTCCTCATATTCCCAAGCACCTAACAGGACCTGACACAGGGGCTGTTCAGGTGGGCCACTGCTTTATCCAAATTGACACAAAAATGACTAACTTAGAAAAGCAGCTTGATTCTCATTGAAGGGCTAAACCACTTTGCATCACGCAGCAGATCTGGGTTCGGACGGCTATATAGGGATGAATACAGATGGTCACACCTTTTCGTGTGTTACCTGAGTCTGCGGTATGAAGCATCAGCCATCGAATGGTGACATTGCAGTCTCTCAGGCAGTTCAGAAGCCTCGGGATGTTATCCAGAACCAGATCCTCCCTCAAACAACCTTCTTTCAGGAACTGCTGCGCTTGTGCGTGCGCCCTTTCGCTGACAGTAGCGTATCTGCTTGCCTGTGAAAAGAAAAAAAGACCTGAATTACATTTCAGAGAAAGAGAGAATCACTTATCTTGAAAGTGAATCACACTCAAAAGAATCCCTCGACAAATAGTAACATTTCTATGTGAGACAAACAGCACACGGACTGTAGTTGATAAGGCTCAAAGGCAAGTGGCTTATTGGATATTTTTGAAAAGAGCACTGGACTTAGAATTGAGAGACTAACATCTAGAAATATTGGTGTGACTTTGGATTTAACCTCTGAGTACTGGTCTCTTCAAACGTAAACTGGAGAACTGGAGTCGCTGGCTCCTGGTGTCGCTTCTATTCGTAACTTGGATGGAAAGAGACACAAAGGCAGAAGCTAAATGGACCATTCTTCCTATTATTATCGACTAACAAGGCAGAGCAGAGCAGAAATACTCAAAAGGTGAGTTTCTACATATAAAAGCTTAACAAAAGAAATACATCTCAGCATATCAAAACTGACCAGCCTTTTTGGAAATTTGGTCATTCTGCTTTACCTAAAGCAAGAGTTAAATGGTAAACATCATTAACCTAGTCAGGTTAGCTTAAAACAACCACAAGATGTGGCACTGGAAGCCTCTGAAGAACTTCTTGTAAAGTCATGAACGAGAAGATGTGATTTTGGAAAGGAATTTCAGTCATGAAAAATTAACGCTCTGGGGCCAGTAAGTATGGGAGCGCCACTTTCTCTAATATATTTCTAGGGGATGTGCCAAAACTGAAATTATTTTGTGCATTATTTATGGAATTCAATTTGCTTGAATAAAACATGCTGAAGTTCCTTGAGTCAGTATTATTCTATGCACATTTGGAAACTCAAAAACTCAGACAGATAGGCTGAGGAAGATAATCACTGTTTAGAAATATCAAGTATGCTCCCCAATAAAAAGATTTTATTTTGATTCTTCTGTATACTCAGATATTTATTTCCTTTTGCCCTGGGTTCTCATCAGAGACAGAATATAGCCATTTCAACTTTAAGGAGATGCCTGTCTTTAGTCTTGTTGCTTACTTCACACACCCGAAATGATGAGCTTAAATTACAGTGAAAGGGTGTATTGTCCACATCCAGTTACCATCTTCAACACTCATCCTACTGACGAAAACATTAAAATTCTAGCTACTAGTGAAGGGAGCTCTGTCCATGAGGACAGTCTTTAAGCAGGAGTAAATGAAGTCACCTGGGGCCAGATGTCACACTGGTTCATTTTAGGGTGTTGACTCTTCCTCAGGATCCAGGTCTCCAATTTATACAGCCCACATAAGTTAAAATTCTACAATTACCTCTCTTATTCCGATGTGCAAAATTCACCTTTCATTAATCACTGCACTAAAATGTCTATGTGGGCATCTTCCAAATCGCTTAGGAAATCTACTTAGCTCGTTTCCTACGCCATTAAAGCTGGTGTGCAGTTGTTTGAGAATCCTCCCGATTAGCCAGAACCTACCTGTTCTCTGACGTTTGAAAGGTCCAGGGTATTGTTTAAAGCAGTTTTTGCAGCTTTGTAGGGTTCCCAAGCATCTGCTAGATTAACTGTGATCCCCATGTAAATACTAATTACCTGAAAGAAGAGACAATCGTTCAGTATTTGTTAAATATCTACTCGCTTCAAAGCAAGGGGCTGGGAAAATACAAAGTTATAGAAGACATCACCCACTCCTTCAAGTTTAAATGCCGTTCCAGTGAAAAACCAAGATTTTCCAAATATACAGGGAAGTGGTTTTCCTTATGAGCACTTGGGAACAAGAGTGACTATTAAATGTTGCTATTCATGGGAAAATAACTAAAACAAGGTTTTCCTTTCAAACTGCTGTGTGTAGGATTCCTTGGATGAACAAAAATGAAAGGGGAAAGAAAAGTAGATACTTTGACTGGAGTAGGGGTTTTCCCAAACATTTTCATCTCATCTTTACACTCTTAAAATCAAACTAAACTTGTCCCCCAAATTTCTGTGAGCAGAGTGGCATTGTGTTTCACATTCATTCTTTTTAAAATTATATGCAGTTCCTCTTTATCCCTATTAATAGTCTCCTTTAAAACTCTTTGGGGTCTAATATTTTCTCACTAGCTTTTTATTGGTTGGCATTTGTCTGGCATATCTTTTATTTTATTTATTTATTTTTAAAAATTCCTTTATTTTCAGCGTGCCAGGGTGCTTTTTCAGGAATGTATCTTGTAAGTATCATGTAATTGGACTTTGACCTTCCTTAATACTAAAAGTGTTTCTGAGTATAGCATTATGGACAGAACCTCTTTGTTAAGCTTAGGCAAACGAAGCCAGACTCTCGGAACTTTCCTCTTGGCTACTCAACTCCCAGCACATGGGTATGATTCATTTGTGGATAGGAAGCATCATCTCCTAATTGTAGGCTGCTCTTCTCCCCAGTAAAGCTCCTCATTCAGGCCCCTCATAATAGCTGGTAAGAAGTGAAATAAAATCTGCTCCCTGAGGACGTGATCCAATTCACTGTCCTCTGTTAAAACCTCTATGTGCAAAGAAAACATTTCATACATATTAAGTACAATGTCAGTCTTAAACCTTTAAGAATTAATAGTTTTAAGTGAAATAATGTTTAAAAAGTTACAAGCACATCCTTGCAGTAATGTAAACCTTGGCCCCATTAACATTAGCTTATAGATAAAACTTACTATAAATGTGCAATTCCTATTCACAAAGTGACAAATTAGGTAAATTCTGATAGCTTAGATTCATAAAATAGAAAAGAATAAAGAAATGCTTATGTAACTTAGTTGAATCTCAGTAGCTAAAGCGAGATACATTTTAACACGAGGTTTTACCTTGAGACTATCCATGTAAAGAAAAAAAACACAAATGGAAGCTTCAGGAAATTTTACTGGCTGATTTATTCCTTCCTGATTTATAAAATTCTCGACAGGCTTAAAGTAATTTTACTTAAGTGAGTTTATGTTTCATTATTTCAACATTATGACCTTTGGATTACAGGCCAAAAGAATGGAAAAATCAGTTCTCCGGCAAGCTTATCATAGAGAAAAAAAAGACTAATAGCAATACTTGCCCAATTATCTGGAAAGTATTTATCCACTATCTCTCTCATTTTTGCTTGATGGGTATGAAGAATGGAAGGCTCAAAGTAGAGAATTACATACAACATGGCGGCCTGATTTGCCAGAGCTGTGCTCCGATGTTCTGGCAATGGATACGCTGAGACCTGCAAGACAGAGACCAGACCAGGAGAGGCAGATGTTAGCAACAGCTGAACTTACATGTGCCAAATAAATGACCTAGTTCTAGGACACATCAGCCTCTCAAAAGTCCGTCTCCTTTGAGGATGCCGGGCACTGGAAACAATTCTCGGATTATGGCATTGGGAACCAGCGCCTTCTTTCTTATCTCTAGCCACATGACATTCTCTTGACTACCCTTGACTCTGCTGCAATTCTAACTCTTTTCCCTAAAAAAAATTTAAAAAATGTAACCCTGCGTCTCCCACTAGTTGTCCATTTCTGAGTCTCTCCCATCACAGACAAGCTCTTAGAACTGACAGATTCCACACTCACTGGTGCTCTCACCTCCTGTTTATTCTTCAACTCACTGACATTTGATCTCCACCGTTACCTCAATGGAACTCCCTAGGGCCACTCATAACCTCACAGTCAGCTAGTTCAATGGACTCTTTTTAGCACTCTCACTTAAATTCTCTGAGGAATGAAATTCTCTCCTCCTCTGGTTTCCCAGACACCACTCTCTCTTCTCAGGCTGCATGCTTTGTGCTCTGCTTCTCTCTGTCTTTCATAGGCTGCTGAGTCCCAGGGCTCCATTGCCTCATGTATTAGGAATCTCTGGCTCCACGTAGTACATGGCGCCTCGAGGACCATGAGCAGAAAGGGAGGAAATTATTACAAGGACAGACACAGCAATGCCTCATGGAGCCCGCGGGCAGGAATGTGGTCGGGTCCTGGGATGGGGCTGGAGCTTCGAACCAGAAAGCCTTCACTGTTTCTCCCCTGGATGTGCTTGCTCAATTTTTCTCTCTCTCCAGACTGTTCTCTATCACATGGCAGAATGAGGCTGCCCAAACTCCAAGTCTTGCATGTTGTGAGTAAACCCATGTCCAGAAATTGTTTCTCAGGCCCAATTCCAAATTACCTGGAGACAGGGAATCTGATCCATCTTGGGTCAAGTGACTGGCCCTGGTCCAATCAGCTAGGGACAGAGGAGGTGGAGGGTAGAGAGAGGGGTGGACACACAGCACAACCACAGCTCAACCCCGGTGTTAATAGAGGTCACAGGGCAAGGAGAAAATTGAAACACACTCCCTTGAGATATGGGCAAAATGGACCACCTAAGAGGCAGAAGAGTTAATAGAAGGGTTAACGAGAGGCAGTAAAGAAACAGCGTGGGCTTTGAAGTCATACAAGCCTGCAATCAAATTATGGTTCTGCTGCCTACTTATGTGATGTTGTGAAAATTATGTAAGCTCTCTAAGCCTTATTTTTCTCAACAGCAACATGAGGATAGTGCTGTCTATTTTGAAAGATTATTGTGAAAAATAGAGAAAACAGTATTTGAAAAAAACCTCCTATGATTCTGGTTCATGTTGAATTCTCAATAAATGGCAACAAATATTATGGAGACCTGGTATCTGCAGGTAGCTCCTCATTTTGAGTTGTCTTAAAAAACCAAACAAAACAAATAACAACCAAAAACTCTTTATTTACACTTAACATGTTCATACAAAAAACTAGCAGGCTACCTAAGAACTGTACAGAACAGGTGTGCTCTGTAATAAATGATATCCAGTTATCACAGGTCCAACTCTTTACTCTCTTCTAGTAAGAAAAAATATATATAATACCTAAAATTATGTTTTCTTTAGGAAAATGAAGGCAAATGGTAACTTTCTCTGGTACCATTTTGAGTGAGTGAATGGTACACATACTGGAGAGGAAAGTGAGCCTTTCCAACCCTGCTCATGCTGCCTCATTTGCCTGGGCTGCCCGGATATCCCCTTTGTCACCTGTTGCAATCTTGCTGCCCCTGTCACATGCTTCACAACACGCTGCACTTCCCCTAAGATAACACCCATCTGGCTTTACTGGAATTCTTTTGTCTGTCTTCTTTCTTCAGCTACAAGCTCATTATGAGTAGGGACCAGGGCCTGCCTTCTTCAGCAATGGATCCCCAGCACCAAGCACACGGACAGCCACATACTGCACACTCAGCAATCATTTCTTAACTGAACGCCTAAAAGAATGCATCTTCTTTCCAAATATAGCTCAAATCTCATCTCCTCCTTGAAATCTCTAATACTGCCCTAATTAATATCCCTCTTTCCTTAACAATTCCAAGGCACAACTCAGAAAGTTTTAAATAGTTTCTAGCTGCTTTTACTCTTCTGAGGAAGGAGAAAAGAAAGGAGCAATTGAGGAGGAAGGTGAAATCAGTCTTTTAAACTATTAGGACAGATTTAAAAATAGACTTAATCCCCACCTGGTTGTAAATATCATCAGATCTTAGCCGGCCGATGACCATGCTGATGAAGGTCTCGTTGATAGGCACCCTCTGGAAGTAACTCTCAGGATAGTTGGGTGGTCTTTTGGCTCCTGGTTGGCTGGAATAACCTGTACTTCGAAGCAGCTTACAAATATCATCCATATTCGAATCAGCAGAAGATCGAGCAGCACTGAGCCATGTTTACAATGGGAAATAAAGGGCCAAAGAAACCGCATATATTAGAAATGCAAAGTCCAGCAAGGCAGAAGAATTTCAGTATAACTTGACTTTATATAATTTTAGATATGACTGTAGGTCAACTTATATCCCTAAAATTCAAAATTATATTTTCAAAAAGCCTGTTGTAATATACCAAACTGATAAGATGGGTTCCTGTATGTATGTACAGTTTTATGTGAAGGTCCATGATCCGTTTCCCCAAAATCCTTGGGGCTGGATTTGTTTCAGAATACAGCGTTTTTCAAATATAAGAAAGTAATGATACATATATCATGTACGATATAATATTCCAGCAGGGTCTTAGAGGGCATTCCATGATCAAGATATATTAATATTTCTACAATAAAATTTATGAACATTCACACAAGTGAGATAAATAAAGACTGTCTATAGCCTCATGTCTGCTCCAGTCAGGTGCTGACTCCAAAAGATTTCAAGTTAGGTCAGGTTTGCTGCCAACGTAGTTGCTCTGTATGCATGTTGTGCATGTGTGTATGTTCATATATTTTTGGCAGAGTTCTTTGGATTTCAAAATTGTGGATAAAGAATGTGAACCTGCACCAATTTTCATAAATTTAAACAATAATTTTTAAAAAGTCTATCAATTTCAAGTGGGATATACCAACTGGTTTTTCTTGGTAAGATGTACCTTCTACAGAGATTTAAGCAGAACATCTGTGATTTTTCTGGTGGCTTGAAGTAGTAATCCCCCAAAGAGACTCAATCTTAGACTTGAAGATGACCTCCTATCTGATATAAGAATCTCCTTTACTACTGCTCTGACTTGTAATTGTTCAGTGTCTCTTCAGTAGTGGATCCTCACATTCTAATGAATTAGCCATTATACCCTAAGGGACAAAGCCGGATTGTCAAAGCTGGGCTTGATTAGCAGATTTTTTTCTTCTTCTTCATGTTGTTTATGGTTTTTGTTTTTCCAGGTACTTTCAGAAATAGAGGCAAGACCATTCATAGCCCATTTTAAAAAACATGGATGGTCAAACTGATGTGAATGAATTACGCATGCTGGTGGATACTCTCCTCACATCCTGATAAAGCTAAAGGAACAGGCCAGCTGAGTAGCCTAATTTATTGCTGAGAAGGCGGCAGTACCAAGTGTGGCTGAAAATACAACATCCCCAAACAATCCCTCTCTGTTGAGGATCTGCCTTTTTGCCCTATTTATTTTGTTCTAATTTGTAAGTCTGAAAATGTTAATTCTAGCCTGCAAATCTTTAGCCCAAGTTCCTGACTCCTGCTTATTGACTGTTTCTTCCCCGAATCTTGATTATTTCTTACATTGACCCTGTATCCAGATTCTGACTCATTTATTTAACAAATTGAAAACTGTACATTAGGGACTGAAATCACAGCTGGTTAAGGTGGGTCCTGTTTTTAAGACCCTGCTTCTTGAAGTCATAGCTCTGTAAAGACACATGTAACACATGGTTGGGATGTGTGTTACTGTTTGTTCTGTTTTGGGTTCTACATATACATGGGTAAGAATTCACTTTCAACCTGGCCCTGAATGATAACTTTTCAAAACGTATCAACCTGAAAATGATAACAGAAAACTCATTCATTTCCTTACATCTGCCAAGGAGTAGTATTTGAAAACTTAAAAAAAAAATTCATTAGACTGCCAAAATTCCCAAATTAATCTTTCAGGTAAGGAAAATTCACATTCCTTTTTAAAAAAAACTGAGGTATCATGATGGACATGATAAGCTATATATCGTTAATAATCTATAATAAATTATATATACTAGATTATATGACATATAATCTATTATAATGATGATGAAATGAAACACAGATTGTTATATTTCTACATTATGTATTATACTTAGAAGTGATAAGAATCTTACACTTTTGCATTCTAGATCACATTGCTGCTGTTCACAATAAAAGGAGGATGGAAACCCACACTGTACTTTACCAATAGCAGTGCTTTTGGAGGGTGTAGTCTTAGCCCAGGGATACCTGTATCGATAGTAAGAAACGAGCATTCTCTCTCTGATTTCTCCTTCAATCTTTTGGTCGATGACCAGGAGCATAACTCCATATAAGTACAGTGCTTCACACTATGATGAGAAAAAGACAACAGCCAAGTTCACAGGAGTACACATGCTTATGGAGTGAAGCTGATAATGTGTAAAAGGATCACTCTGCTCTGGTTCCTCCTAAAAACTTTATATTACAAGGAGACTGCAGGTTCCCCCCAAAGGGTTCTCACCTTCTGTACTGAATGAGCTTCGAAAAGTTTATGCAAAATAAAGTTTAATTTACAATGACTATCTTTCAGTTGGTCTATTTTTCATATTTTGCTTGGGATACCAAAATGGAATCCCAACATTATGAATACATAATAAGTCATTCACTTATTTAACAAACATTTCTTAAGTGATCATGATGTACTAGGTACCAGGCTAGATGTCTGGGATGCAAAAGATAAAGAAGATAGGATTGTTACACTGAGGAAGCTCATAACCTGCACACAATCTTTATTCACTTGTAGCTCTCCTCAAAGTCTACTATGTTCTAAATTCAGACAAAGACCTGCCAGTTAGAAGATAATTATCAGTTTAGTTTGCTTCTCCTTAAAGAAGGATACACTGTATGTATTTGTGACTTACAGGAAAAAAAGTAACGCTAAGTTTGACATTCTTGATTTTTAAATTTTAAGCGATCACTACTACTTACTAGAAGTTGTTTTCCATCTTCATTGAGAAGCACCGTTTCTAAGGTTTGCTGAATATAAACACCTTCATTGAGATCATCTAGATATCTAGAAATGAAACCCCAGAGCAAGTTATTCATTGATAATAAAAATGTTAATATCTCTGAAGAAGGACAGTAAAGATTTTTAAAAGATTAGGCAAGATACCAGGCATTCTGGCCTTCAAATAGTTTGTGGCCATTCATGCTCTTAGGAATAGATTGGTGAGCAGGAACTCATAGTGATCAGGGCCACAGATTATTTATGGCCACTCCAAGTAAAAGGAATATTCCATAGTCCTGATTTACGAATTACAGATATCTTGGGAATAATGGCATAAAAACATGGACTAGTTAGTTTAAAAGCTAATGAGTAATGAATTCTTATGGGCTAGAAGGAAGAGAATATTGTCTGGTCAGGGACAAGAAGGAAGGCTATGGTTACCAACGCTACAAAAATAAGTTCTTTTTTTTTCACTTCTCATTTATAATAAACTAAATTAGGATCAAGATTGAAAGCCAACTGACTTGGTACAAAGCAAGATGATTATAATCCTTAACAAGAGCAGGAAATAATATTAAAACTCTAAAATACTTAAGATGACTAGTGCCACAGGAAGGAAAAGACAATTATCCACGGTATAAGCTAGTAAATTTCTTAGTAACTCAGAAAGATATACACGTTCTAGTCCATCCCTTCTCCCTCTCCACTATTTACTATCAAAATAAGCTATGACTAAATTAGTCAATACCTGTTTAAGTCTACAATATATTTATGCACACTTTGAAATGCTAAATAAAATCTGGTCACAATTTCTGTGTTGTTTTCCCGAAACTCTTCATCTAAATCCTGTAGCTCTGGCTTAGCTTCCAGTTTGCTTTCCCATAATTCTGGACCCTAAGAAGAAAAACACATTTATGTGAAACATCAAGAAAAGAGTCACAAACCAATAGAATTATTGGTAACAATTTCAAAACAGTCTTTTAAAAATGTGTTCTTATGCCTCAAAAGGGATATCAAAAATTGAAAGCAGAGGAACAGAAAGTAATGAAGATCTCAGAAGCACAGATATAAAATCCCTTTGAAAGAAATGGACTTGAATTGCAACAATTGACATGCTTTTAAGTGTGGGGTACTTCAATGTGAAACACATTATACCAAAGTTATCTTTTTAAGATGTGATTATATTGTGTTAGGGCTTCCACACAGTATATTATTTTAAAGTTAGCTAATACTAAATTTGGTTGAAAAGCTTTTCTTTTTAACTCCTTCTCCATAATTACTTAACCTCTCAGAGTCTCCTGGTTTCCAAGGAAAGCATGCTTTTGTAGAAAAGACTGGTAAGAAAAGCTGTTGAGGAAGATTACCTTAAAATAGCTGAAATCAAATATGATATCTCCGTATTTCTGTTGATCAGCTCGGTCTTTTAACCTGAATACAGCAGGAATAAACTCAGAGAGCCTCAGAAGTTCAGCAATGATGGCATTGCCACAGGAAACAATTCTTAGGATTGCTTGGCCACAGAGGTTATTCTCAGCCAGAAAGTCCAACATCGTGAGGATAATCAACTACTCTGTGCCCGGCCACAGGAAAATGTGTAACTGGCTTCAGAGCTGGGGTCTGTAAATCATCAGATGAAACCAGGTCTGCAGATACACTGGCCGCTCCATTAAAGGACCTGTATCCCCCCCCCCCAAAAAAAAGTATGAAAATCTCCATTTTTTTAAGGAACCACGTGAAACACACACACAATATTTTTCTTCCAAACTCACTGAAAAAAATTTATAACACATAATGAGTTCTGATATGGAGGGAGGGCATTTAATTTCCACTCTTCATGTTTTCCTTGTAGAGGAACTTTGCTAAATTGCTACTCTTGGCCTCTTTCTCAACACTTTATTCACTTCTCTCCATGAGAAAAGACTTGATGTAGCTGATCCCTGAGCTTGTGAGAAGGTTCCAAGGTGCCCTAAATTGGGAACAGATTATTAAATTTTCCTTTCAGGAATTGTACCACTTCTTTTACCTTTGGGAAAAGATAACTATGCCCTAAAATCTACTAGAATTAGATGAGGGAACTACCTTTAAAAATGTTTTTTTCAGGGGATTCCCTGGCAGTCCAGTGGTTAGGACTCTGTGCTTTTACTGCTGAGGGCCTGGGTTCAATCCCTGGTTGGGAAACTAAGATCCCACAAGTTGTGCGGCACAGCCAAAAAAAAAAGAAAAAAAAAGTTTTTTTCATATGTCAAGTATGGGAGGTCCTGTTATTGAGACTAATATATGCCTGAGAAATGTGACAGGGTGACTCTAAAAGTAAGGACAACTATTTCATACTAAGCAGTGGAGAAGTTCTGATTAGGAATGTATCTTCAAATTATATCATCAAAACTTCTGACAATAAGTTTTATGCTTAACAAAATTGAGAGTGAAGTTGCAGAAACTCTGTACTCAATGGACAAACCAAGAACAAGTCAAAAGCTGGCTTCATCAAATCGTGATTTCGATAATACAGTGTTTTGTACTCCACAGTTGTCTTTCATAGTATGAGCTTTAAATGGGTAATTTTTGCAAAAAATTTCCAAGGCATCATTCATTTTTCCAAAGGGCCTCCCAATTCTTTTTCACCTCATTATCTTTTGAAGTGTTAATTGTGTCATCATCTTTGTTGCATTTCTCTCCTCTAATTGTTAATTTAGCTAGGTCATCATTTGTGAACTTCATGGAAGCCTAAATTATTTTTCAACTTCATAAAGGCCTGTGACTTCCCAACATTTGCACTTTCACTTGGCATTGGGATCCTGCTCTATCAACATAATGTCAACAATTAAGAAAACTGACCAAGGGACTTCCCTTGTAGTCCCGTGGTTAAGACTCTGTGCTCCCAGTGCAGGGGACACGGGTTCGATCCCTGCTTGGGGAACTAAGAGCCCCACATGCTGCATGGCCTGGCCAAAAAAAAAAAAAAAGACTGACCAAAAAGTAAGAAAAGTAAGAATTTAATGACCAAATAGACAGCTTTGGACAAGGATAGCTGAATGAGGACTAATGTTACAAGTGGTCAGTTTATTAAGATGTTCACATCAATGCCACTTTTGAGTTCCTCTGTAGCCACAGCAAAACATTCCTCAATGCCTGTCACACATTTTTAAAGTTCACCCACGTGATGAGCTACCTACTGTAGGTATCTATTACCTGGAAGCTCTGTATAACCCTTCAGGGTTTTCTTTTTTCCTTTTGGAAGTTTCTATCATTGATTCACAATTTGGAAATGTCTTCATTTACTGGGATGCTGTGGCAGCAACTGCTGGCTCCTCAACAGTACTTCCCACTCACCTACTCCTTTCTTATTCTAGAGGACAAAACAGTCAGATCCTCACTTTCCCTCCCTTGAAGCCACGTTAGACATGCGACTCACTTGTGACCGATGAGATAGAAGTCTATGGTAGAACTTTTAGGAAATGTTTTTTTTTTTCTCCAGCTACAAAGAGAGAGGCATGTCAAGAGAAATTTCTCTTGTTGCTCTGGCTATCCACCTTCTTCTTGCCTTTGAGTGTGGTCCAATGAATATTTGATGCCTGAAGCTGCAGTAGCCACCTTGAGACCATGAGGTAACAGGCCTAAGAGAAAAAACACCAAGAACCTGCAGACTGTGGTGCTGAAGGAAAGAATCTAAATTCTTAATTGATGTTACTGATTCCTTGATTCAACTGTGGCACTACCTACCTCTGTAATCCTTGTTAAATGGACTGCTTTTATGGTTTACCTAATGTTAATTGGGTTCTGGATTATATGCAGGTGAAAGCATTTCCAATGATACAGATTCACTTACTCAACAAATATCTACCCAGTGCCCACTATGTGCCAAGCACTGTTTTAGGACCTGAGGCTACCGTAGTGACCACAACTGACTTCCTGCTTTCATGAAGCCTACATACTATTGGGAGTGGGACAGAGATAAACAAATAAACATATTACATATCAGGCTTTGATAATGCTGTAAAGAAAAGCATGACAAAGGGATGCAGCGTGTTATTCTACATACAGGAGAGTGTAAAAGCCTCTCTGGTAAGATGATATTTGAGCAGAGGCCAGAAGCAAGTGAGGGATCAAGCAGTAAGGGTATCTATAGCCCCTAAGATGGTCCCCAATGACCTCCACCTTCCTATTCACTCCCTGAGTGTGACTTACTGTCTCCCATCTAAAGAAGGGAATAGGGCAGATGTGAAAGATGCCATTTCTGAAATGAGATTGCAAAAAAGACTGTGACCTCTGGCTTGGGAGCCCTTTCCAGCGTGTGTGTCTTGGGAGAAACAAGTTGTTAGGTTGTGAGACAGCCCTGTGGAGGAGCCCTATGGGACGATGGAGAAGTCTGCCAACCACCACTTGAGTGAGCTGGAAAATAGATCCCCCCAACCCCAGTTTGTGTTCACAGCACAGCAACCTCCCAAGAGCCCCTGAGCCAAAGGCACCCAGCTAAGCCACATAGCTGATTCCTGACCACAAATGTTAATAAGACAATAAATGCTTATTGTTTTATAGCCACTAGGTTTGAGGGTAATTTGTTAGTTTACTGATAGTGATCTAAGAGAAGGGCATTCCAGGAAGGGGTTACAAGTAAGTACTACGGGACAGAAGCAGAGATAGGGGAGGTGGAGTTGGGTCCCATAGCAGAGATTACTGAGAAGCCACTACGGTTGTCCACAACTCTCTCTCATGAGGGTTGTGTATAATACACATTAAGGCATAAATTAGTAACAACTGTGTTCAGTTTTCTCTGTGATGCTTGCTTGTTAAGACACGTTGATCTCTAACAGGCTGAATTTCAGATAATTTCATTCCATTTTTCCCACTGAAACGGACTGCCTTGGAAAATAAGACAAGTGAGAAAATAAAGGAAAATGAGAACAAAAGTCACCTGAAGTCCTCTGAAGACCACTAAACTAACCCAGGTCTCAGGAGGATGAAACTTTAGACTCAATTCAGAGAAGGTAAGGCTATGATGAACAGGTCTAACTGCTACCATTTGGGTATCAAGATAGGACAGACAACGTGGCCAAAGAGAAAACAGCTTAAAGCAAGTCAACGTGACCTGCCTTCTTTCCCAACAAACAGACAGACAGATATACTCGCGCCTGCACGCATGTGGTCAGGGAGGCTTAGGCCTGGGATAATGACTTAAGGTCAAAATTCTTGTGTGTCCAAGTCTTATTTTAATCCTTTTTACCTAAGAGTTACACTGCAGGCAACTTTCAAAATATTATTTGGCTAAAGTCTTTGGTAAATAGCCTCACTGTTGGCTGAAAAACTGGTCCTAAAGAACAGAATCTAAGAAGCATAATTAAAGATGCCTAATCATGTTGCAGTGAACTCAGAGGTAGGTGGCTTTATAGAAGATGTTAAGACTTAGTTGAGATTAAAAAAAAAAATTCACTCTAGAATGAGATGCAAATAAACATGGTAGAAGAAGCTATATTAAATCTTCCTTTTTTTTTTAAATTGGGGTATAGTTGCTTTACAATGTTGTGTTAGTTTATGCTGTTCAGAGAAATGACTCAGCTATATGTATACATATATCCCCTAATTCCCTCTTTTTTGGATTTCCTTCCCATTTAGGTCACCACAGAGCACTGAGTAGAGTTCCCTGTACTATATAGCAGGTTCTCATTAGTTATCTATGTTATACATATTATTGTATATATGTCAATCCTAATCTCCCAGTTCATCTCTCCCCCGCCCCCAACAAATCTTCCTTTTAGAGGTTCTGCTGGTGCTAGGGATGAAGACAACTCATAAAGACCAGCTTTCTCAGTAGAGGCTCTCTTACCATTTGACATGCAATGAAACCAGAGATCCCACTCAATTTCCTAATTTTGTTTTTACAAGGCACCCAGAAAAGTGGTTGTAACTTCATTTTCAAGAATTTGGTACGGAATTATGATTTTTAGTTTGGAAAGTAATCCTAGACAAAAGACAACATGCTTTCAAGAATAAAGCATGGCAACATCATACCAATTACCCAATGAGTACAGAACTGAATTCTGAAAATTAAATTGCCCTGGGAAGAACCAATCTTTATCCTACTCAGAGGACAAAAGAAGATTGATCTATTTTAATCCTTTTATAAAACCTCAGCTCCATAAAGAAAGAAGCACTGGTCTCCACCAATCCGTTATCAGGAACAAACTATAGCGGTTGTTGATCAAAAGGGACCGGCATATCTCTTCCAGAAAAGTTCTAAAATAAGCCTAATCACTCTAGTCTGAGAATCCTGAAAAAGAAAGAAGAAAAACCGGAAGGTGTTCCCTGTTGTGGGCAAAGGCAGTAAAGCCTCTCTCTCCCCCTTCTCCCAGCAACTCCTAGGCTGGAGGAAGCTCCACGCACTTGGAATCAATCAGGAGACCCGGTTCCATTACCGGCTCTGTGTTTTTTAGTTTTTTTAACTGTACGACCACAGACAAATTAGGACCCTCGAAACTATTTTTTGAAATTCAAAGGACTTTGGCATGTCGTACATAGGTGGGGGAATTAAGGTGCAGAGAGGAGCAATGATTTGCCCAAACTCACAGCCCGTGGTAGAACTGGAATTCAAACCCGGGTCCGTCAGACCGTATAAGTTTCCACCAACCACTCAGGTTTCTGGAGAGTAAATGGAGAAATGACGACGTCCACAGAACACTGCTCCCGGAAACTTGGAAGGCTCAGATGCAGACTAAGCAGCTGAACATCACTTCCTAAAGCGCCAAAGAGGTGTGGAAAATTGTTTCCACCTGAGTGGAGGAGATGCAGAGCCTGGACTGCAGCAGCAGCTCCAGGAAAACCCTCAGTCCTCCACGCCAGGCTCCCCCATCCAGACCCCACCCCATGCCGCAGAAGCCCCCACCAAGGCCAGCGCGGCCCAGCCCTGGGGCGGGGGAGGGGACGGAGGACGTGAAGGAGTGGGCGCGCGCACACCGCCCCTACTCACCTGTCACGCGGGCCGCGCCAGGGCGCACGCGCAGGGCCGGCGGTCGCACGCGGAGTCAGCGCCCCGGCCACCACCCCTCCGTCTCCGCAGGGGTTCCCTTCTACCCCCAGCCCTTATCCACAGCCGGCCAGACCCCGGCTTCCGCCCGGGGCTCCCTCAGCCGTCACATGACAAAAGGGCGGAGAGCGGGGCGGGGCGTCATGTGACCACTCGCCGGCGACGACTGATGACGCCTGAGCCCGCGCTCGCCGTTTCAGCGACAGGGGAAGGGAGTTAAGGAAGTAGTTGGGGGTCCTGGTGTGGGGAGTCTGGGCGCAGCCAGACGGAGCTACATCGGGCAGCCAGGTAAGGCAAGAGCGGAGCATGGCGATGGGGAGGGTGATGGGAGGTGTTGCCTCCCTCTCGGGCTCTTCGCCGGTGCCGCGAGCTACGGTCTGTGGACCTGTGTTATGGTCCTGGTTCTTTTCACGCCACAGCAATGAGGCTGGGGCGGTTTACCTCCCTCTCCAAGACGCCATCTCTCCATCCTTGGGCTCTATGTGTGTGGGGCAAAGATCACGAATTCTTTTTTTATTTTTTATTGAAATATAGTTGATTTACAATGTGTTAATTTCAGGTGTACAGCAAAGTGATTCAGGTAAATATATATGTATACTTATATATAGAGAGAGAGAGTGATTCAGGTAAATGTGTATATATATATTCCTTTTCAGATTCTTTTCCTTTATAGGTTATTAAGATATTGAATATAGTTTTCCGTGCTATACAGTAGGACCTTGTTTTGCCTATTTTATATATCGTAGTGTGAGATCACGAATTCTTGATCTAAATAAATCTGGTTTGAGCCGGCTTTCAAAGCAGGGCCTTGGGCAGATCGTTTAAATAAACTCTCTGGGCGTCAGTTTCCTTTTCTCTCCTATAAATGGTTGTGAGGATTAACCATAATGAGAACGAATTGTAGGGGCACCAGTTTATGGCTTGCCATAGGGAACCTAGAAATGGTGGTTTCCGTTATTGATGTAGCTCTGCCAAATCTTTATTGGTCACCTATTTTGTGTGAAGAGCTGTTCTATGTTATGTGGAATCTGTCAGAATTCTAGTTTAAGTTGCTCCCAGGGTGAAAGAGTGGCAGATATGGGAGCAAGTAGTTATGATGGTTTTTAAAATAGAACGGGGTGGGGGGGGGAGGGGGAGAGAGAGAGAGAGAGAGAGGGATAGTGGTAGCATGAAGGAGAGAACAAGCAACTGAGAGGGCTTCATAAAGATGTAACCTTGCATATTGGAAAAGAAGATACAGTTATGGCTGAACTTGTATAGGGCCCTGTGGATTTAAAGGAGGTCAGCACAGTATCTAAATTATTTGCTCTGTGCATACCACTTGTACAGAAAGATGAGAGGAGTATTTTTATTTTTATATTAGCTAATAATTGGCCTCACCTACAGAGAATCTTTTTTTTTTTTTTTTTTTTTTCAGAGAATCTTATAAACCTGCTCTGATCTGAATGTTTGTGTCCTCCTCCTACCCCCACCCCCAATTCCTAAAGCCAGTGTGATGGTATTAAGAGGTAAAGCCTTTGGGAAGAGCTTAGGTCACGAGGATGGAGCCCTGCTAATAGGCTTAATACCTTTATAAAAGAGGCTCCAGAGAGCTCCCTTGCCCCTTCTACCATGTGAAGACACAGAGCTAGAAGGCCCTGGCCATGAATCACCAGAAGAGGGTCTTCACCAGAATGCGACTATGCTGGTGCCTTGACCTTTGGACTTCCCAACCTCCAGAACTGTGAGAAATGTTTTTGTCGTTTATACGTTACTGTGTCTGGTATTTTGTTACAGCGGCACCAACAGACAAAGACAAGGCCTGTTAGGGAAGGCAACATAACATGCTAGGGAAAAGCTCAGGAAGTGCATAACCTTGTTTTAAACTTTCTTTGAGACCATAGGTACAGAGAACAAAACAGTCACAGTTCCCTGGGGAAGGCTCCAAAGGGGGTTAGTTTAAACCAGGGTTTCTCAACCACTGCACTGTTGACATTTGGTGCCAAATAATTCTTTGCTGTGCGGGGCTGTCCTGTGAATTATGTACTTAGCTGTACTTAGTGGGAGAAATAGGGAAAAGTGCGTTTAGTCCATCTTTCACCTCCAGCCATTCTCTTTGCTCCTCGATCTGAGTCGTTCCTCTTGATAGTGCAGAATTAACAGACGAATGTTTTCCCCACCTCTCTGCAAGTGTAAAGTTTCACTGGAGTAATGTGAATTTTGCATTCATATAAGGATGGCTACCATGTAGCAGACACTTTACATTTATCCTGGATTACATTAATCCTTATATACACTGTGTCGTAGTCAGCTCAGGCGGCTATTAAAAGAATACCATAGACTGGTGGCTTAAGCAACAGAAATTTATTTCTCACAGATTTGGAGACTGGAAGTTGGGGACCATGGTGCTGGTATGGTTGGATACTGGTGAGGGCTCTCTTCCTGGTTCGTAGACAGCCACCTTACTGTATCTTTTCATGGTGGACAGATAGAGCAAACCCTGGTGTCTCTTCCTCTTCTAATGACACTGATCCCATCATGAGGGCTCCCCCCTCATTTAAACTTAATCAACTCCCAAAGGCTCCATCTCTATATGTCATCACATTGGGAGTTAGGGTAAACATAAATTTGGGGGGGACAAAGTTACCTCAGTGTTCTCCATACTTGAATTATTTGGGGTGCTTCATAAAAATACAGTTTCCTCAGTGTCCACTAGAGACTGATTCAATAGGTCTGAGATAGTATCCATTAATAACTGTATTTTTAGTAAGTATTTCAACTGATTCTTAAGATCAGACAAGTTTGAGAAAACTACAAAATTTAATTTAGGGGACTTCCCTGGTGGCGTAGTGATTGAGAATCAGCCTGCCAATGCGAGGGACGCGGGTTCGAGCCCTGGTCCAGGAAGATCCCACATGCCGCGGGGCAACTAAGCCCCCGCTCCACAACTACTGAGCCCGCGTGCCACAACTACTGAGCCTGTGCTCTAGAGCCCGCGCTCCACAACAAGAGAAGCCACCGTAATGAGAAGCCCGGGCACCACAACGAATAGTAGCCCCCATTCACCGCAACTAGAGAAAGCCCACACACAACGACGAAGACCCAACGCAGCCAAAAATAAATAAATAATAAATAAATTTATTTTTAAAAATTTAATTTATTCTTATAATAATGTTGTGAGATAGATGTGATTATCTCCTTTTTACACGGGAGCTAACTGAAGATAGAGAAGTTAAGCAACTCAACCAGAGTGATGCAGTTTTAAGTGGGGTGGACAAGGTGGAATTTCCAGGCATTCGTGTCCAAGGTCAGTTTACTTATGCGCTATTCTGTATTGCTGCTCACAGTATTGTATGATTAACTTGATGGTAATATTTGCTCTCATTGTAAAAGATTATATGCCAGACATTATTCTGAGTGTTTTGTTATACGTATGAACTCATTCAGTCCTCCCAGTAATCCTTGAAGTTGGCACTGGATCATGCCCATGTTGCAGAAAGGAAAAGTGAAGCATTGAGAGGTTAAATAACTTGCCTAAAGTTATTCAGCTACTTAATTGGCAAAATCAGGCTTCGAGCGCATGTAGTCTGGCTCCAGAGGCTACAGTGTTTAACCCCTACTAGAGTTTTTAGTCATTAACCCCTACTGGTATCACCTCCATATTCTACTCTATAATGTAACTAATGTTTATTTTTAATATAAACGTGTTTCATGTTATCTTTAAGTAAAATTAATATTCCAGGAAGATATATCATGTTCATACTGTGGCTTTACTCCATCTGGCTTACCCCCTGGTGTGTGTGTGTGTGTGTGTGTGTATACACTTTGATAATTGTGTTTCCAGAACAGTGCTATCCAATGCAGTAGCCATTAGGCACATGTGGCTATTTAAATTTTTTTTTGATTTTGCATTATTTTAATATAGCAAAGCATTGACAAGAATAATAAATAGGCAATTTATTTGATAAATTTGGTTTTATAAAAATATTTGTTGAACAGAGTTGCTTGAAAAGAGGCAAAAAGACAGTATGTAAAAATATTAGTGATGAAATATTTACATATATCTATTTCAAAAATTAGAATAGAAAATATTCTCCATCTAGAAGCATTACTTCTGAGATTACCAGGTTCCCTGGCACCTGTAGTGTTTCACAATTTAAAAAAATCATGGTCTTCAGAGAAGAGTCATATGAAGGTGTCAACAGTTTCACATTCATATCATGACATGCAGTTTTGAAGAGAATCACGGGAAATTCTATGAAAAATTAAAATAATAAGACCACATTGAGATAATATATCTTCAGAAAAATACTAGTGTCATAGTATTAAAGACAGAGATGGCTAATAAACTGATTAATGAATGTAAATATGTACCAAGAATAACAGTTTCTTTTTTTTTTTAAAGTTTTGGTAATCAATATAAAAAGATTTCTAAATCTGTTTTAATGCATGTAGATATATGTTACTATTAGTTTTTAAAAGTGTAGTTGACTTCCAATATGGCTATTTAAATTTAAATCGATTAAAATTAAATAAAATTTAAAACTCAGTCACTCTAATCACATCAATAGTCATGCTATTATGACTCTCAGTAACCACTGCTAATCAATAGTCACACGTGCCTAATAGCTTCTGTATTGGACAGTGCAGATTATAGAACATTTTTGTCATGGCAGAAAGTTCTATTAGACAGTGCTGCTCTAGACAATTTAGACTTACACTAGAATCAAGATTGACTAGAAAACTGAATTCTTGAACCATATCATTTGATCTTTGCAGGATTGTGTTTTTTGAGTAACAGTTGGTGTTACAATAGGTATACCCCCAAATCTAAATGGCTTTGCACAATTGAAGTTTTTTATTTCTTTCATGCATGGAGCCTGATTGGTGGGCAGTTTTCCTCCAAGCAGTGAAGTAGGAACCTAGGCTCCTTCCATTTGGTGGTTCTCTATCTTCAGTATGTGGCTTCTAAGGTCATTGCTTGCCTGTTTCAACCTGACAAATGGGAAAGAGTGTGGAGATAGAGTGCCATTTTCATGGATGGGGCTGGAAATGGCTTCTGTTTCACTGCCTTGAATTCAATCATACTGCCACACCTAACTGCAAGGAAGGCTGCAAACTGTGGTCTAGCTGTACGAGCAGGTTGAAGAGGAAATGGGTTTGGTGGGCACTGAGCTGGAATCTGCCACACGTGTCCTGTCCTTAGCTTACCTTGAGACATAATCTAAGAAACAGTCCTCAGAAGCTTACTATTACTGTATCGTAAGAATATTATTAAGGACATTTTTCAGTGTGATTCTTATTATCTCATACGTGATGATCCGTGCTGCCTTGATTGCCATGGAAAGCCTTATTTTTCTTGAGTTCTTGGCGTACTTTATGGAGAAAGAGAATTCTGTAATTTTCACTTTTTGTTTTGCTTGTCAGGAAATCTCATAGCCAAATTTGTATTTACAAATATAGTGCTGTGTAGAATCATAAAGAATCCTAAAGCTTATATGATTACATTCTAAATTTTCTCATGTACTTGGTTTTCCCTTTAATCTGTTTTTTGGTCCTGATTTTTATGAATTTACATATTTTCCATCTTATTGCATATGTTTGTGTTTATATTGTGTTAACCATCCCAACTTGTTTGGTGTAATAAAGTGAGATTGTAAATAAATACTGTCTTTCACCAAAACACACATATTCAAAACACCATTATTGTTGTTTTTTTTTAATTTTTTTTTATTGAGGTATAGTTGTTTTACAATGTCATGATAGTTTCTACTGTACAGTGAAGTAGAGTTCCCTGTGCTATACAGCAGGTTCTCATTAGTTATCTACTTTATACATATTAGTGTGTATATGTCAACCCCAGTCTCCCAGTTCATCCCACCCACCCCCCCACTGCTTCTCCCCTTGTCATTATTGGTTTTTCATTCATATACGTGGTCATGTCTTCTCTCAGTGTGAAATTTTAACACCACAGAAACTCCCAGAAGATAACATAATGAGAACCCTTGTTCCATCATCTGGATTTTAACATCTGTAACATTTTGCCATATTTGCTTCAGGTCTTGATTTTTAAGATCATTTAAAGAAAAAAAACAGATAAAGTTAAAGTCCCTGGACCTATAAGGTCTACCTGGACCTTTATCCTTCATTAAGACCCTCTATGCTATGTTCCAAAAAATACTTGCTGAATATTTGTTAATTGAATGATTTGAATTGATGACGAGTTGTATTGTGGATGTTTGTAGTAGACGAACACCTCAAAAATAGAAATTAACATCTTAAACATCTTCTCTGTGACCTTCCCTTTTTATACCCTGTGTCATTTTTAATGAATCTAATGATTGACAGGACTACTTGTTGAATGAATGGGTGAATTTAATGAAAAGGGACCAATAATTGAGAAACTCCTGTAGTAATCCAGTTGTGAGGTAAACATGGTGGCAGTGGAGAGGATTGGAAGGGCCACAGATACTAGGCAGCTCAGAGACAGTCAAGCAATCTGTCCATGGTCACTCAGCAGTACAGTGGCAGAACCTGAATTCATGCTGTATCAGTATGGTTATGAGAAAATACCTTTTTTGCTACCATACAGCCTTTCCTCTAAGCCTGTGTAAATTCTCTCCACTTTTCTGGATGGTTTCAGTGGACTGAATTTCAGGTGGTTTGTGAATTAAGCAAAGATGTCTTTTTGTAGGGAGCTTTACATAAGTAGTCCAAAGCTTAAAGAGTTGTTGATTGAAGATACAGATTAGGGAGTGTTTTAATATGAAGATAATAATTGAAACTATTACAGTGGGTGAGCTACCAGAAGATAAGAATTTACAGAAAAATTCTATTTTTTTCTTAAACAGAATCTGGGATCTCACCAAGTCTATAAATCTTAGAACCCAGAGGAACTGTCAGAAATAAAAGTTTTCTTATAGTTTTCAGAATTCAATATGTATATGTGTCAGATAAGTTAAAAATTACAGGTTTTCAAAATTCTCCCTTATTAAACTATTTTATTGCTACTATTTTCATTTTTTTGGAAGAATGCTTTATATGAGCAATGTACTTTTTCTGACACACTTATGTTTTAGGTTTTTAGGAACTGTGCTGTTGTTGAATTCTTCAGAGAATCAGGGAATCTTTTGGAAGAGGGTGTTCTCCCTCCTTTATATACTGAAGTACATCTTCTTTATTTATTGAAATTCATCTATTGTGTTTGGTGGCCCAGATGATGGGACAATGCTTTGATATCCTTTCAAGTGATATAGAATGTAGATAATTGTGTAGCACTTGTGGGATATTGGATACATTCATATGGATGTTTATAGTGGTTCTGTTTTCCTATGCAGTTATTATTCTTATTCATAAATTTTGTTTCATTGTGTTTGAAAACTTAGGTAATAATTTCAAGATGCCAGGGCGTTCCACTTCAAGTTCAGGTTCAACTGGTTTTATATCCTTCAGTGGTGTAGAATCTGCACTCTCCTCCTTGAAAAACTTCCAGTCCTGCATCAGCTCTGGAATGGACACAGCTTATAGTGTTGCTTTGGGTCTTGTGGAAACTCAGAGTAAGTAATAATTAAAATTTATTTCTTTTGTGTCTATTTTGATGTAACCCTGAGTGGTGGCATTGCTCTAGGGATGCAAGATACCGCTCACCTTTTGGGTAACCTTGGGACAATCATTTAATCCCTCTGGGCATCTGTTTTCTCATCTTCTTTTACATACCACATAGTGATGTACTGCGGATAAGATGAGATTGACTCATTCATATGTGTTCAGACCCCCATGAGCCACTAGAGACTGCACTAGAAATTTATGGGCTGAAACATGAAGGTATCTGACCTCAAGGAACATACAATCAAAAGTATGTGACATTTGTGGGACTTCCCTGGTGGCGCAGTGGTTAAGAATCCGCCTGCCAATGTGGGAGACATGGGTTCGATCCCTGGTCCAGGAAGATTCCACATGCTGCTGAGCAACTAAGCCTGTGCTTCACAACTACTAAGCCTGCACTCTAGAGCCTGTGAGCCACAACTACTGAGCCCACACACCGCAACTGCTGAAGCCTGAGTGCCTAGAGCGCATGCTCCACAACAAGAGAAGCCACCGCAATGAGAAGCCTGCGCACTGCAACGAAGAGTAGCCCCTGCTCGCCGCAACTAGAGAAAGCCTGCGTCTAGCAACAAAGACCCAACACAGCCAAAAAAAAAAAAAAAAGTATGTGACATTTGTGAACTGTACAGTATACAGCATTATGATAGTTATTTTCCAGTAATTGAACTATATTTTGTTCATGCTTAATTACTCAGTAGACAGACCAAGCCGATGCTAGGGGTACTGGTAAAAGAAGGCCTCTACAAAAGATGAGAAAAGTTCAGTCTTGCTGCACTTGACCACAATTTTTTGATGAGAAGATCTAGAAAGATGTTATTTGCTTTGTTTGGGTTAAATTTATTTTTATTTTATATTATATATGGAAGCAGGGGAGCAACATAATCGTTTTGTTTTCCTTTTAATATCACTGTTTTTCAGCAATTTGATGGTGATGTGCCTTGGTGTGATTTTCTTTGTTTATTCTGCCTGGTGTTCTTCGAGCTTTATGGATTTGTAGGCTTACAGTTTTGATCAAATTTGGAAAAAAATTCTGCTGCTATTTCTCTCCCCTCTCTTCTCCTTCTGGGGCTCCAATTACATGTATGTTAGGCTGCTTGGTAATGCCTCATAAGTCACTGAGGCTCTGGTGATTTTTTTCAAGTCTTTTTTTCTCTCTGACTTTAGTATGAATAGTTTCTTTTGCTGTGTCTTCAAGTTCATTAGTCCTGTCTTCTCAAGTGTCTAATTGACTAAATCTATCCAGGGAATTTTTAATTTCAGAGACTGTATTTTTCAGCTCTAGAAGACATGAAAAAGAATTAAATGGAATCTTATTTCTCTCCTCATTACGCTCATGTTTTCCTCTGTACGCTTGAGCACATGGAGCGTATTTATAATAGCTACTTTAATATCCTGTCTGCTAATTCTGGCATCTCTGTTGCCACTTGTGTGTATTATGTTGTTGAGTTTGGGGATTTTGTCATCTTCTTTTAAAGAGTATTGACCTTTGTTTTGGTTGGCAGCTAAGTAATTTGTGGATTAGGCTGATCCATCCCAGGCTTGTTGTTAAACTTCCTTAGGGCAGGTCTAGTGTAGCTTTACTTTAGGGCTACTTTAGCCTTGTTACAAAGCTTGCTCTTTGTGGAGTCTCTGTTGATTGCCCAGAGAGTTCAACGAAAAAGCTCTACTCTGCTGGATGGAATCTGAATGCCTTCCAGTCCTGCGTAAATTCTGGGAATTGTTCACTTCACAGCTCCCAGCAGTTGTTCCTCAGCAGCTTAGGATTCAGCATCAGACTCAAGGGGATCTCTGTGCAGATCCCTCACGGGCTTTCCCTGCATGCCCCCTTCTGTCTTGCAAAACGCCTGCTACTCATCCTCCCTGAACTCCAGTCTCTCTCTTCTCAGTCCTTTAAGACTGCTGTGCTCCTCTTGGATTCCTCCTCCATTTTGCAAGCAAGAGGGCAATTGGAGGACTTACCTCACTTGCTTTCCTTTTCGCAGGCATCCCAGTTCTGCTCTGCCTATTGTCCCACTGCCTGAAAGCCGTTGCTTCATATATTTTGTCCAGCCTTATAGTCACTCATGGCAGAAAGGCCAGTTCCATACTAGATATTCATTCACAGCTGGCAGCAGAAGTCACCCATCATCTTTAGTGGGTGGCCTCTAAGGGTCTTACCCCTGTCCAGCCTGATTTGTAGTCTCTTTTTGATGGTGTTGGATATTCGGCTTTGGTAGGTAGTCCTGGGTAAACTCATAATAAGATCTTAAATCATAAGAGAGAAGGGCTGGTACGTAACCTCCTGGAGGATTGTAGTCAGTTTTTTTCAGGATTTGCTTTGAAGGCTTCTTAGTATGTTTGATACCGAGTTCATTTTTGTTTGTTTTTGTTTTATTTTTTTAAAATAAGTATATTTTGATGCAAAATGCAGCATCTGTTTCATTTAAAAAGAAATATAAGCATCGTTTTTTGAAAGATTCATGCTCTAAAGCAGGGATTGGCAAAGTTTTTCCATGAGGGGTCAGATAGCAAATGTTTTCAGTTTTGTGGGCCATGTGGTCTCTGTCGCAACTCCTCTGTTGCAGGTCTGACAATTATTATAAAAATAGTTTTGACCCTGTGGACCTTGTGGAAGGGTCTTGGGGACCACCTCCTGAGAACTGCTTATGAACCTGAATTGGAGTGCTTATGAGCAAGACTTTGGTGACAGGAGAAACTCCCTACAGAGAGGATGCCTAGGGTGACCCCCACTGGAGTAATAGAGCAAGAGCTTGTTAGGAGAGCAGTTTTCTTGTGACGCCCGACTGAGGTGCCGTCTGAGGACCCAGAGAGTAGAAAAACACCTGGTATTTAAGTAAATTTGAAAGTAACTCAGCCTCTAACAGTAGATGAAAGACTTTTAGGAGACAGAGCCCATATTGCTACTTAATTGCAGGATTTGGAATCAGCCTGATACGGTCTCTAGTCCCAGTTCCAGCTTTAGTTCTATAACTTGCTCAAAGATAGGTAATTTCTTTGAACTTCTAATTTTTTATCTGTGAAATAGAGATAAAAATGCCCATTTTATAAGGTTGTTGGGGTTAATAAGATAGTATATGCAAAGTGCTGTTAGTGTAGTGTTTATTCAATAACTATCAAAAAGTATAGGCAGCAATTAGAAATTTAAGGGTCAGAGCTTAGAAGAAGGGCCTGTGATGTGAAGAGGGGAGCAAAGGTGGATGAGTTTGGAGTCTATTTAAGGCTTTTGGTTTGCGTGCAGCTAAATCAGTAATTCATGTTAGCCAACACTACAATGATTAATAAAGGTTTCTTCCTTCAGGTTGTTTACAGTTTAGCTGGGAAGCAAGACATATACATGCTGTTCAAACATTAAGTGAACACTGAGGGCCTAAACATTGAACATTAAGGTCCTGAAAGAAGTTAGGACTTTATTATTGGATGGTTTAAAGTAGAGGAGGAATGTGGCAAGATCCAGGTCTAGAAAGATAACCTCATGGCAATACTGAGGATGCTGCGGAGGATGGAGATACCTCAAGTAGCTAATGAAGTTATTTCAGTAGCTCAGGTGGAAAAAGTAAGTTCAGCTAAGATATTATAGTTGAGGTGAAGAGGATTCGATTTGTGTGCTTTGTGTCTTATATTATGCCCCTACATTGAGATATAGGCAGGATAGTGTAATGTAAGAGTGCAGAGCTTTGTGTACAGAATGCCTGGGTTCTTGTCCCAGCTCCATCACTTATTATTTTTGTGTCCTTGGACAAGTTTTGTAACCTCTGTTTTAGATTTCTGATTTGTAAATGGCATTATTGTGGGGATTAAATGAGATAATACTTACAAATTACATAGAGCAGTCATTAATACTTAATAAGTGCTCAGTAAATGTTAGCTATCATTTAGTCATTTGGTTTGCATTTGAGTTGACTATTTTCTTGGGCAATAGTCCATGGACTGGGAGAAATTAAAGTGCAGAAGAGCAAGTGGGAAAGTCCATCAACTATCTTCAGAGCAGAAATACTCCCTTTTCTTCTTAGCCTTATAAGATTAGACACACTTTCTGTTGACCTTTCGGGTTGCCCAGTTTCATCACAAATTAGAATGAATTTTGACAAAATAGGTGGTAACAATCACTTGGGGATCATTTTCTCACTTTGCACTGTAATTCTCTTGTCACTATATTATTAAATTATTCGTGGAGGGGATTCCTGCTGCCGAGAACTTGGGTGGTGATGTGTTTCGTTTTGTTTCCTGTTGGTTGCATATTCCTATACAGGTGCTTGTCCCTATTCAACTTTCTAGCATATTTGAAATTATCACCTTTCCTCGTGTTACGTTACAGCTTATGGTGTCTGGGCAATTAGACTCTTGCTGCCACCCTATCTATTAGTTTTTCTCTGAATTTATTGGTATTCTAGTAATTCTTTATTTGAACTAACTGGGAAATGAAATTTGTTACGTTAGGAGATTTTTCAGATAACCAGAGCTTATTTTTCAGATTTTAAAGTTTATTATGTACTTTTCTGTCTTCTTAAGCAGAATGTACTGACCTAATTTATCAGAGCTGTAGGTATCAACATCATCTTTAAGCAACTGAATTTTCATAAGCCCTTTAAGTTTAGTCAAGTAAATTTGAGGAATGGCCCTTCCCTAAAATGTTAGTGTACCTCAGGGTTGCGTCCTCTCGTCCTGCCTCTGTGTCAGGGTGTGTCTTCAGGTGGCCTTCAGAGGTTTGGTTAACATTCTGCGATTCCATGGAAAATGTATGTGCCTGAGGATTGACAGTTCTTATCAGATTCTTGCTGAATATTTGTGAGGAACGTTTGGAAGAAAAGAGTAAAAGGATGTCTATTTAAATTGCCCAAGGGTCCAGTAGATGAGAAAACTGTTGGAGGGCTTCTGGATTTTACTCTCTATATTGCTTTTCTTTCTGTGACTTGCTGAAAGAAACAGAGCAGAGAGACTTCAGTTATTATGG